ACCGTAGTATGCCGAGCTCCTGTCTGATCGCATACACAACTGTGGAAACGCAAGAAGACTTTTCGCAAGAATCAATGCCTCCTCAAGCGCTTTACCCTTTTCAACTACTCTATTTGCCAACCCAAAGGTTAGCGCCTCGTGAGCGTCAACCGCACGCCCGGTCAGGATCATATCCATCGCTCGCCCGAAGCCAATGATCTTTGGCAGACGAACCGTCCCTCCGTCAATAAGTGGAACACCGAATCGTCGGCAGAAGACACCAAATACAGCCGTGGTGTCACAAACGCGCATATCGGCAAGAAGGGACAGCTCTAACCCACCTGCGACCGCGTGGCCAGCAATCGCAGCTATCACAGGTTTTGACAGCATCATGCGGGTCGGTCCCATCGGTCCCGGCGTACCGTTGATCTCGTCTACCTCATTCGTGCGCGGCTTATCTAATGGCGTGTTGGCGACTTCGTGAAGGTCATAGCCTGCACAAAATGTGTCACCACTGCCAGTGATGACGCAGACCTTTTGCGCTTCGTCTGTATTGAATTTACGAAAAGCACTGGCTAGTTGAAGGGCCGTAGAAGCATTCACCGCATTTCGTACGTGCGGCCTGTTGATAGTAATCGTCGTGATACCTTCCGGGGTAGTAGCATAGAGAATCGTTTGTTGATCTGCGGGCATCGTTAACCCGTTCAGCTGCTTCAAGCACTGCTGACAGAAAGCGGGGAAGCAAAAGTCGCGCTTGAAACGTGTCTATATTTCGTGTGAGGCTCCTTCTTAGTATTGCTGAGCTTTAAATGAAGCTCAAAATCTGTATACCTTTGAAAGATAAGGTAGATTGTGCATGGTGAAATATTGATGTTGGACATCAAGGTGTGGAGGCACCCCGGTATCTCGTGCCTCGGTCCAGTGGTGCGGAGTCTGGCACCGTCATCCTAGACTCAGTCTCATAAAGGATTAGCACTTTTCATGAAGAATAAAACCATGTCAACTAGATATGCACATGTAAGAGGAATCTTGCATATAAACAGGTCTACACTTTCACGTAAGCAACCTTGACTAATGGCCTCAGAGCTTACCCAGAGCTTGACCGATATCATCGAATGCCATATCGATCTTGCGTTCGCTATACCTAATCATTCTTACCTAGGTAGTTTTCAAGTGGGTAATTTCGGGTGCCTTGTCTTCCTTCGGTGCGCTGGCTTCTCAGCTTGCATTGCAAGAGGTTTACAGGATTATTGGCGTTGCTTTGCCTAGTAATGGGCCGCTTGTAATATCGGTCGGCGTGACGCAATTTGCAGATTGAACATCAGCGAGCGTGGTCCAAGATCTTATATCTAAAGGCCCGTTCAAGGCTGTCCTCGTGCGGGAGACTCAGCTGAGAATCAGGCAAAATTTGGCGATATTAAGGCTGCTCGTGGAGGCGGCCATTTGCTGTCCAGTGTGGATGTCCGTGACTGAGTCACATTACCGGAATGAATTACTGGATCTTTCCATCAGTTTCTAAATGGTGACCTAGATAGAACCCAAATGAGAGTTCACAGAGTGGTTTTGGTGGCATTATCTAGAAGATTCTTTGCAGAGACAGTTCTTGAGCGAGTGGTGTTGGAGGTGAAGAGAGGGCTAGGGAATTTGAAAGAAGCATGGGAGGATCTTCAGTGGTCAAAGAGAATTGTCATAACGCCCGATTGAAACTAGCATTGGCCTCTATAATATTGGCAATCATACCTGTAGAAGAGCTTGAAATCCATAGGTATGATTACAAGGAGTGTCTGTGATCATAAATACAAGTGCTAAACCTGGCGGCTCTTTGCCTAATTGATACAAATAAAGCATGGATATGGTCTGTGTCATTCTGCAGACATTGATCCAGTGGTAACAAGTCCTGTTGTGGCACAGGTAAACGAGAGCTCGCGTCCTGTGATCCGCGATTCGCAGCAATACTCAATCATGCATGTATCGGTGCAGTCCACGCCTGGCCCATAGGGATCTCATACACCTTCAATTCCCTACTCGCATCTCGGAAAAACGGTATGTCTGCCAGGACAGATTCCATGCACCGGTTCAGTTCAGGATGCGCCTGTAACGAGCAATAAACAATGCCGATAGGCGCGAGGATAACCATAACTCGCTCCTTGCTCGTCATCAGATTGTCGTATAAGAAAGGCACCAGTCGAAACGCTTCCAAGGCAGGCTGGCACAGAAACCTCGCCTCTCCAGGTTGGAGCAGCGGAGATTCCGGATGGCGGTCAGTGGCATGTTTGATGTAGTCCATGTCCTCGTCAGACAATCGGCTATTTTTCGGTTCGCCGATACCGAGGATGTCCTCAAGCTGCATCAAATAGACCAGGCCGGCGTTATATGTCAGAAGGTCTAGTGCTTGGGCAACAGAGTCGAACTCCAGCGTCCGAGAAAGCAGCTCTCTGAAGGCTGGCGTCTCCACGCCCTGTAAACTGAGCCTGGATGTGACCTCCCTAGCCGCGTCAGGGTTGGTAACATCCCACTCCCACCTCCATTTTCGTAATTCTGCCACGAGCCTCTTCACCTTTAATTGGAAAGTGTGCCTACTTGTTGGTGCGATGGGTTGCTCAGAAGCTGCCATATCATGGACGATGCCAGGTACATCGGCAAGGATGTCCAGCAATTTGTCTAGAGGGGTTTTAGGTAGTTTCTGCCAGGGGATGGTCTTCCATTGCTCGTCCTCCATGAAGGTCCTCCGCCGCAAAGCGAAAGATTGACATATCTGCACAATATCAGTCGAGGATTAACTAAGTAGCATCTACAAGGTAGGACTGACTAGTAATGCCCTACATGATCTGAACGAAGTAAGAAGTGGTTCCTCTTGAAAGCTCTCGGGTCCGCAATGTTGCAGGATTTGTGCTACGCCTAGGTGGTGGACCAAGCGTAAATCTTTATCGACAGCATACTAAGCACGCCACGCCATCAGCAAGCAATTTCCCGGGTTCACTAACAGGGTGGTGGGTAGCAGGGCTGAACGTACCGAATACATCCCCAGAATCACCACTGGCACCGTTAACCGGGCGAGATCAGTCTTAGCACCAACCCCGTGAGTCAGCAACGACTGCACCTCCCTCAGGGACCGGCCATACAGCTCAAGGCCCATGGACTGCAGGGACTTTTCGCTGTGCCCCAGGCCCATATGGCCATATGCAAGTGCTAAGCTGCAGGTGTGGCTCGTTGTAGATAGGTCAGACTCCTGAGCCAGTTCCAGAAAGGGTTTCCAGAAGGAGGCCCAGCCATATGTAGCAAAGAAGTAGGAGAATGCAATTTGCTCCTGAAACGCTACCAGACTCAACTCACGACCGACGCGCTGATGCTGGCTTGACTTGTCGGGCGGCGAGATCTTTGCTAGTCGCTGAGAGCCTTCGGGTTCCGTGACTACGACCAGCGACTGCATCCGCAGACCCAAGTCATAGCCCTTGCAAGTGTAACCACTCTTGAGACATCGTTGGCAAGAAGGCCGGGTCTTGTCTGTGCAGGAAGGCTGTTCAGAATCGGAGCAATTACATCAGGAGTGGGGGCTTGGGATTGGGCTTCAGGAGACAGAAAGCACCCACCGCACTTGATCCGCCTTTTACGGCATGTGTGACAATACCCGCTCGTGGGAGGACGACCCATGCCGCAGAGAGATGGGAGGTTGGAAGGTGGGAACGGGGCGATGGAGGATGGACGTTGGGTCCGGAACACGGGCGGATCCAACGATCTGTCGGTGATTCAAGCAGACGCCAACGCAGCTCGACTTAAGATGCCAAAACGAGTATGGCGGACGGTTGCAACCGAGTCCCAGCACGATCTCGCGCAGGCCCCAGATCACGTAGCCCACTGTAGTTCACAATGTAATCGCGCGTCTGTTTGATGAGCGGCTGCTTCAGGCACGGATGGTACAGCCAGACTCCGGATAGACGAGAAAGGCTTGTTCCACGCTGTGATGATTGTGGTGTCTCAAGTCAAAGAACAGCCGAGATTGGTCAACGCGAGGCGTGAGGGGATTTTCTCTCCCTCCGCTCCTACGCACGGCACAGACAGGCCTCTCTTTGGTCAGCATGCCCTCCCTAGTCCCAGCACCACGCTAAGTCAACAGCTGCACACTGCCGGCAGATAACAATACTTTAGGAGTGGTTGGCAGCTGGCAGCCCCCTGAATGGGGTTGATCATGATGGCCGAGAGCTATCCAATGAAACGAATCAGAACTGTGTGCAAGGCGTGAGGGGAAGCTGAATTGTCCCTAGTCAGCACCCAAATTCTCAAGCTGCAAGAACGAGACGGTTCTTCGCGAATTCCATGCCTGTGACAACATATTGTTGAAGAATCTGATCCTTGCAATTGATTGCAATCGAGCGGAGGTCTCATCGTAGGACAACTCTGACAAACAGATCGTTTGATTCCACATGTCATGCAACTGTTGGAACCATCAGAGAATACATCAATCAGCAGGCGCGTCCTTATGGGACTGGTATGCATGCTGTGGTAATCGCCCTCTTCACCGGCGCTGAAGTAACCAACCACCTAGACTAATAGCCCGCCGTAGCGTAGAGTCACCGAATGCAAGCCGCTGCCCGTTTGGTAGCTGAGGTAAGGCATCTGTCATCCAGTACCGTGCTCGCTGATTACTTCAACCCACCGGTTCAAGGTCTTTCTGTGGGGTTTACACCACAGTAAGCCTGTAAAAAAGGGCCCCAAACGGCAGCTAAAATGTGCCCGTTGCAAGCTACAGAACCATTGTCGTGGAATGCGAGTGATGGAAACTGGCTACTAATGGTCGACAGGATGACGAACAAGGCGCAGCAATCGTCATATCGCTTGGTTTCTCGTCTGCGTCGTGGCCAGGGATAAAAGGCGGCTTCTCCTACGACATTCCGATTTCAGCCATCATCACTTCAACGAGTACTGTAGTTCCGCGATTAATAGCTAAGCCCATCAAGGCAGCCCTTCCTACCTCACACTTGACTCTGCCTAACATACAATTCAAATAACCATCAAGATTCAATATGGAGAATCTGCCTGCGGACTACTGGGTGACAAGGTGATTTACATATTCCCGACGGTTGGCCGACACCGCGTACTGATAGTGGTAGTTTGCAATTCACCCCTCACACTTATCAAGATGTCTACCCATCTATTGAGCCTTCCAATCCGAAGCTCTCCCTCGCCGGAAAAGTCGCCATTCTCACCGGGGCGAGTCGTGGACTGGGTTCAAAGGTGTGTTTTCTTCCCTTTAAGACAGAATGTTCTATGACGCTAACTTTGCCCAGGCATTCGGTCCAGCATTCGTCAAAGCAGGTGTCAAGGCCGTCGTGCTTGTCGCAACCAACGCGGACAAGCTGAGGACAGTAGAGGCAAACCTGAAATCTATCAACCCCGACCTGGAGACATTGGTCGTGGCCGCCAATATCGCCGATACAGCATCAGTTGCTTCTCTGTTTGAGCAAGTGAAGGCTCGATTCGGCCACGCCGACATTCTGATTAACAATGCTGGTGTGATTAGCGGGCCTGGCTTGATTGCGGACGCGGACCCTGATCAGTGGTGGGTAAACTTTGTAAGCCTGTTTCAGTACCTGAGAAGACCTCGTGCACCGCTAACTATAACCTAGGAAATCAATACAAAGGGCGCGTTCCTGCTCGTGCAAGGTTTCTTAAAGCTTCTCCCATCCTCTGACACGCCAGCATTCGTCCTGAACTTGACGACAAGCGGGGCCTGGAAAGTGCTACCTGAAGTCACGGGATATACGATCAGCAAGCTTGCGGCACAGAAGTTGATGACGGACTTGGCGGCCACGTATCCTAATGTTACCTCCGTGGCGATGCATCCTGGCCTTCTGGAGACAGATATGCTCCTAGACGCATTCCGCAAATTCAATCTTGACACTCCAGAGCTAGTGGGCGGCACCGCTGTGTGGCTGGCCAGCGAAGAAGCCAAATTCCTGAGCGGGAAGACCATTGCAGCAAATTGGAGCGTTGACGACCTCGTTGCAAGGAAGGAAGAAATAGTGAAGGACGGTCTACTGAACATTGATCTGAAGGGAAAATTTGGTAAGGAACAATTTGAATAGTAGCTAGAGCCACGGTTTTCGTAGCTAAAACACTCGACACACAACAGTTGACGAGTTATGACTTGATTACGCGTAATGATGGAGTCTACCATTCCGACTAATGCTGCTCATATCCAGAAACTGTGCATACAAGCGTGTGAAGATAACATGATCCAGTCTGAAAGCAATGTCCTTGTGGAGCTGACCCTTCTTCCAGCTACTGTATTTCCGCCGATTTTCCAAGTCCTCATGATTCATAACATCTAGGTCTTTATGACCTCAAGGATGAAGTGGGAAACGCCTATTTTTGACCGAGATGACGGGTTCAATGCCACGAGGACAAGCTTCCATACCAGGTAGTCCCCTTCCGGGCGCTGACTTGAAGCGTGATAGGATCCCGGTCTTCTTTGAATGTTTATCAGGTTCACCTAGCCATGGTGTCATTCTTCTTCCATTAATTTCTTCCTCTTTCGTGAGTTGCAACACTTCCGAGGCCTGGTCTTTCTTTGTCCGGCGGCGTTCGCAGAAGAAGTGATAGTCGAGCTGCAAGGTGGCTTGAATGAGTTTCATTTGCAAGGAAATGCTGTTTTTGGTATGTGGAGGTATTGTGCTTTCATCTGTCGAATGAATCGTTCTGGTTATCACATGCCGATCGCTCGACGGCAATGACTTAGAGTGTGCCATGATGATCTGACTCCGAACGAGACTCTTACGTCTCTGATGCACAGCCTTCTCCGCAAGGTCTTCTTCTCGGTGCTTTAATTGAAGCTCTTTGACTATGTTTTGTATCCTGGTCCTCTCTTGGGCCGCATGAAGCGCAGCTTGGGCTGAGATATGACGCCTGAGTGACTCGACTTGTTCTTGTGTTGAAGCCCATACATACTTGTAATGTAGGCTATCGATAGACATTTGTTTGCCTTCGGATCTGCAACGCTCCGGACTTGCGCTGGTCGAGGGATGTATGAGCTCGGTGTTAGGGAAAATGTGCTTCACATGCACTCGACTTGCTCGGAGAGAAGGCATCTTCGATCTTATGACCTTGTGGTTTCCTGGATTAGTTTTACGCTCAAGGCTTCGAATGTAGAACAGGGTTGTAATATGTTCAAAATGACGTAGCATAGCAGGAAAGAATTAGGATTTAAATAGGTCGGCCACGGTGACCCCGGACTCATCAATCGGAGAAAGGAGGCAAATTTGATGCAACTATTAGGTCTCATCCATGGACTGAGACATACGGAGCCTCAACAACAGTGATAAAGGTGACTCAAGAAGACTAAAAATACGACCGTTAAGCACGTGTCGGGGCAGGCCGTACCGTTCACAAAGCGTGTGCGGTTGAGCATCCATTGAAATAAACTTTATCGTCTAGTGGATGTGTTGTGCTGGTGAACCAGTGGGCATGGAAAATCAGAGCCCCAACATGCACGGAGACTTTCTGGGAGCAGAGCCAAACGAGAATTCATTGACTAGCGAGGGTAGCATGTAATAAGGAATGACGGGGCAGGAGTATGAGTGCACGCCACTTCATACATAGATGTAACAGAATTTTCCACCGTTCCCTCCCATCGTGTTCAACAGATCGCCCAGTTTAACCTTCGGTGCTGTCCAGCCAAGATCAACATCATCGTTGATTGTGCCAGTTCTTCCACCGCCCATCATTGAAGTGGGACCAGTGACGGCCGTCAACCGTGTCTTTAGGTCTTGGAGTTGCCAAATCCACCATACACGATCAATCATACCGTGATGAAGGTAGAAGGCAGGGTCACCCGGTGATGTATAGAAGTCCTATGAACAGATTTACTACAAGGCTTTCAATCGAGAACGGTCAGTGAGAAGATTAGACATACCCCTGCAGGATCACCACCTATCGTATAGTGTCCGCCAGTGTGGACACCCCACTGTCCAAGCTGGAACTGGCCTTGCATGACATTTTGGAATGAGCCAATATCGTTGTTCTTAGTAATCAGATCATATGTATAATTAGCTGTTGTTACGGCTGCCGCATTCTTGTTGACGTCGCGACGAAGACAACGTGGATTGTAACCAAGGCCATCCGAGCGAGGGTTAGCAGGAACATTGTTGATCGTAGCGGACATGGGTCCTAGGTTGACTTTAAAACTATTGTATTGTCAGCCTATGTAGACTTTGCAAAATTCCCGTAAGATTGTCTCTTACTCTTTGAAAGGACCGGTGGTAACACATCCGCCGCCATCAGCGGGTGGTATGACATTGTACGGAGCAGGTGCTCCAAATATTTGCACACCCGTGTGTGTTGTCTTTGCACCGTTGCCACTCATGCTAGAAGCGTTACCATTAAATATTGGTGAGTTTATAGGATCTTTAGCATAACGGTCCCAATTCCAATACTAAGTCAATTTAGGTGAGTATATGTTACGGAGTGTGGAATGCTAGTCAATCCTACCGGCTGGTACCCCTTGTAACCACACTCATCACGCAAGGCTGTCTCGTATGCCCATGTGTAATAGCGATGCCAGCTAAGAAAGTTTGCCTAAGTGAAATGAGTTTCCGTAAGTTGGATAAACTCAGTGAAGATACGTACAGTGCCATGGATGTTTGGCGTGTTGATAATATGAGTTGCGACAAAGTCATCAAAGCGACTTCTGGCACCTGGAACAGTGGTGCTTGGAGCCTTCGGCGACTTAGACTGGAGGCAAAGCACTGCTTTGATGTAGTCCTCTCGGTCTGCAACTGGTAGATCACTCCTGATTTCATGTAAGTTCATCGTCTTCGAACTTCAACTTGTTGGCTTACCATTCCATCCGCTTGATGGCGTTGTCAAGAGTGCAGCCGGTCTTCGAGGGATTGGCTGCTAGGTATGTTTTCAGCTTGTCCAGACTTGAAGCCGCAAGTTTATCGACAGCATCTTGTGGATAGATGCCTGCGTACGCCTGGCTAACTATCAGAGCAAGAAACCCCAGGCTTGGGAGATTTGAAAACAACATCGTGACTCTGTCTTTTCTTGGCAAAGTCTCGCAAAACAAAGTGCCAACCTTAACCGGAGTCTTGGATGATACAAATTCTTGGTTTACTGGGCCCAGGAAGGTCTATTTGTGCATGTCACATACGTGAGCCACAGCGGCGATAGGATAGCCCGCGAGATGTGGTTGACCTGTAGAATAGATGTCACCATGTGTGAGCTAATCTGATCCTGCAAATATGGAATTCCGGGATCGCCTATGGCCAAGAGATTGAAATGCCGCCTAACCGACCTGTTACCTTGTTTCATCAAAAGACCAGGTTATTCGCAAGTGTCCTATAATCCCGGATGAAAGTTGGTGGCGCTTCTCCCAGAAGTCGATATCCCGTGCCCAAGTTTCTGTTACGCAATACGTATAACACGCACAAATGTTAACCAGTAAGAAAATAGTCTCGATAGGAGACGCCACGGGATGCCAGGCAAGGCTCTTATGCGGAGATTTTCCAAGATATCATTGCATTAGCATTCAACGACAGAGGCCATTTAGCTTCCGCCAGCCACATGTAAGCTTCTGACCACAGCCGTGAGGCAATGCTTAAAATACTCGAAGCCCAACATATCGTCGATGTAAGAATCACTTGCGTTCTGACATTTCTTGTTGCCTCTTGGAGTTACGCAATTTGGCAATGTTGTTCATCATAACTCCATTATGCATTTGAGTGTAATGCTGTGGCGCCGTGAAAGTCCTCCGCTGTCCCGGACGGGTCGTACGGACCCGAATGCCTTAGTAGAACACGAATCCTTGATTCAAAAAATGGAAGCAATGTGGAACAAAGTCCACCCTGTTGGTGACTAAATTCAGACGAAGCTACAAGAGGTTAGCTTTTCCAGTCTCATGGTCACAGTGTCAGACCTCCGTAAAGATGCCAAGAGAAATACATTGCGGGAGAAAATCGTTGGGAAAGCCTCGCCGCAAAGTAAACAAATCGGGAAGGTATAGCAGACACCAGGTTGTTCAAGTGACTGTCTTATGCGAGCCTTTGATGCTGGAAGCCGCAATGTCGCTGTCGAATCATAGCCCGTGTAATTAGATTCGGACTAAATGTCAGCATTGACAGGGTCGAATCAGAATAAGCGTAAAGACGAGAAACACGATGGCATCACTGGTGCCAAACTAAGCTCAACGTGCAGTATGCCCAATAAAATCGAGACTTACCGATCACCCTTACACGGTCTGGGGTGCATTGAAATTACCTGAAGCTGGCGGGAGATATTGAAGAGTAAATTAATCCGGGGGCGGTAGAAGAGTGGTTCCAATTGCAAGGGGTGTACCGACTTCACAGTATTTAGCCATACTATGTCAAAGATCGGAGGCTTAAGAAGCGCAAAGGAAGCATTTTCAAGAGGCAGAGAGCGACCATGGAGCCCGGGTAAACAACTTCAAAGGCGCGTCCTTTCATCCCGGCTTGGCATCGATGGCGTTGTAGCAGCGAGATGAATTAGATGACACGAGTACATCGCGCGGGGTCTCAGTAGCACAATAAGATCATCAACAATGTCCCGACGAAGGTCGCGATCTCATCACGGATGCCGAAGCCGTAGGCCGATGTCATTCCGCGTCTGGCTTGGAGCGCCGGCAGATGGAATGAGACTAGTTATAGAAGTTTGATAAAATAGGACATCTCGCAAGTCTTAGCAATGCAGTGAGTGGTCATCACATCTGTAGTTGGCTGTAAGTAGTATCTTGCAACCATGCACTTCAAATCTGGTCTCTTGGCTCTTGCGGCCGCTTCAACTCTCGTTTGCGCGCATCCGGGCGAGAAGATCGACAAGCGTGAGGCTGAGATCGAGGCAAACTTTCGTCATGCCGTCGCAGAGCTAAACCAGCGATCACTGGAGCAGTGCAGTGGCTCCGACGATGTAAGAATGCGTAAAGAACGGGCAATGAAACGTCGCTTCGAAACCTTCAAGAGACTTCGGGAGGAGCGAGGCGTCTCTGATTGTAAGTTGGCCCGACATCTCTCTTTGTGACTATTTGCTAATAGTACAATAGTGAACTATGTTCATCGCCGAACGAATGCCCAGTTCTCCAAATGGGCATCACAAGCGCATGATAGGACTGCCCAGCTGAAATACACCAAGGACACACCCGTCGAAACCATCTTTGGCGCGAACACATCTTGCATTTTTACCCCTGACAATGCAAACGGCCCCTATTATGTTGCCGGCGAGCACATCCGCAGCAACGTCGTCGAGGATGTTAAGGGGGTTCCGGTGCACCTGGAGATGCAATTCGTGGACACCAAGACCTGCAAGCCAGCTCCGCAGCTAGTAGTGGACATCTGGTCTTGTAATGCAACGGGCGTGTACAGTGGCGTCAGTGCCGCAGGAGAGGGTGGCTTGAAGACCACTTACCTGCGCGGCGTGCAGCTCACTGACAAGGATGGGGTTGTCTCTTTCGATACTATTTTCCCTGGTCACTACCAAGGGCGAGCAAATCATCAGCACGTGGTAGTCCATACAGGTTCAACAATTTTGCCAAACAATACCTACACTGGCGGCCATGTAGCTCATTTGTCCCAATTCTTCTACGACCAGGCTCTTCTAAACACAGTCGAGGCAAGCGCACCATACAACACCAATAGGATCCCGAAGACGAGCAATGCTGCCGACATGTTCACCGGATATGCTGCCACGGAGAAGTATGACCCGTTTCCTGAATACGTCATGCTTGGAAAGACGCTTCAAGATGGACTCTTCCTGTGGTTAGAGATTGGTATTGATACAACGGCAAACTGGGATACATATGCTCCCGTAGCAGCTTACTTCAGGGAAGGTGGTGGTGTCGACAACCCCGACTTTCAAAGGCTTCAGATGATCACGGGCTCGCCACCACCCACTCACGGCTGATGATGCCTTAGACTAGGGATGGACTTGGAAAATCGTATATATCACGCTCTCTTTCCGTTGTAACTCATCAAGTTCAAAGAGTCTTGACTGAATAGAATGATGATTTTCGAGCGTGTTCAAGTTGTTCTTTTGGTCCAAACTTTTCGCTTTGTGGTTATAAACGTATTGACGGTAATAGCTTGTGATTTATGGGGCCATAGCTAGTTGATCTATTCACTATATTATTAGAAGCCGGCCGACTTTTATTTTGCTGATAAGCAATCCTCGTCTAAGAAATACCCCTATTAACGCCTATCAAACGATTTTGTTCAACCACTTCCAGTTTCATAATCGTGGTCGTTACTTTACAGCCATAGTTCACACCTATGCCGTAAAATACTCATTTTTGGTAGACAAATGAGTCACAAGTGTCGTCAGAACCGAGCAGATCGATGTCGAGGTCGATGAGATTGTCCGAGGATCCGGTCACGGTTAAGCAATTGTCGACGTGTATGCCGTTCTTGATCGTAACACCCAGGCAGTCGACGAGATTGCCGAGCTCAACAGTAGCCTTGATAGCATCCTTCTCGCAGCGGGCAAGGCAGTCGTTGTAGTCGGTCGCGGTGCACGAGGTGGCGTTCGGGTGGCTGGCCAGGGTTTTGCCACAAGTAGGCTTGTAGCCGTGCTTGACGGACTTAGGCAGCTTGGGCTTGGTCTTGCCGCTGAGCAGGTCTCCGAGGTTGAGGTCGATGTTGAGATCCAGTAGGTGCGACAGGTCCAGGTACACTGACAGATCGACATCCAGGATGCCGAGGAGCATGAGGTCGACATCGACCAGAGGATTTGAGCAGTAGCTAGCCGGCGAAGAGCCTGCACCGTTGGAGCCAGGGCCTGAGCCTGGACCCAGCCCAGGACCAGTCCGTACGGGATCTGCTGTAGCTATCGCCTTCACAGTAGATGTGCTTAGAGTTGAGGTGAGCTAGGAGCAATTCAGTCAGTATGAACATACAAAATAGAATTGAGACTGGACTTACAAAAGGCCTCACACTCGGAGTGGAAACAGATGGTGTCACACAAATGGTCTGGGGCTCATTATGAATTTTGTGTGGCTTCGACCCCTTGACGATGTCAATCGTAGGGCAAATGCTAATGTCGATGAGGGCGCTGATGTCAAGCAGACAGCCGCCATTGAGCATGTTGACTGGGATGTTGGCAATAGAGGCCATTCTGGATGAGCAACGCTTGAAGAAACAAGGGTATCAATGAAAGGACGATAGCGAGTGAGAGACACTTCCTAAAGTGAAGGTGCAAGGGTTTGTATTAATGCGTTCGGTGATGTAGATGGAGAGAGTGTGATCTAGTTGACCCCAGAGGCGGCCATGATCTTTATAGAATGACAATTCATGATGCTGCCACCCTATATTGAGCCCCTTCCACCAGTGCCAAGAAAGCGAGGAGCGAAGGGACGAGACCTCTCCTGAATGAAGATGAGGCCTGGGGTCATTCTCACCTACACCATAGACATTCAGACGGACCTCACGCCACACGATCAACTATCGAGGGCTGTCTCGGACGAGAGCTCTGGCATAACCCTATTCTAGTTTGATAGCATTAGGGGCCACCATGCGGCTGTGTTCTGTCGGCACTTGCTCGATCCCGTTTGTTCGCTTTGCAAATTGGCCGCTGCGCTTCTACATACTAGCGACGTTTAACTCACGAAGGCATCCACTTTCATCGCAGGGCTCCTGCCCTTGCAACTGGAGTTATAGCCTGCTGTGCCCTTCAATCCAAAGAAAATCAGCGAGCTAGAAATAGGGTTAATGTTAATGTTGTTTAGGCTCCGTGATTAAGGGGATGTGTCTTGGTTTTCTTTCAAGTGCAAGCCTCCAAGTCGTTTTGACAGCGGCTGGTGCTGGTGCCCAGTAAGGGATCACCTCTTAGTGCGCTAGGCTACGAAGGAAGTCCTTGGGCTGCCCCATTGTTGCAAGGGCGAGTTCAATGCGAGATATTTCAAGGGCTCTTGCTCTAGGGACTGAGACATGCCAAAACCGGTCCTCTTGAATGGGAAGGCCCTGCAGCCCAAGCGATCGGTAGTCTGCGTCGATCTCAATTACGACCGCGACGATATTGACAGCCAGTCAGCCACCCCACAGCGCCGTTGAGAGGGAGGATAAAAAGCTATGGTTTGAGCATGATAGCTTCAGAACAAACACTTAGCCTGAGATACTAGCATCCAATTACCAGGCATCCTTGGAGAGTCCTTGCTTCAAAACGGAGAGCCAAGGCAATGTCATGGTTTCGCAGCAGCTCATGACAAGACACCGAGGCCCATTTCACTGGCCAGAGCTGTAGTCGGTTCGTATGAATGCTCACCACTAATTAAGCTTAACTCTGGCGGCGCAACACACTCATCCTCTTGGATTATACAACGAAACCCGTGGCAATTGTGGGTGAGGCTCTACAACCTCTGGCGGGATTAAATCACATAAGATGCAGAGTAGAGAGAATTGGAGAGAATTGGAGAGAATTCCCGCTGGACGCCGTGCCTATGAATGGTCTGTATACCTAAAAAGGAAACGTCTTTCACATGATGCATCATGATGCAACTCCGCCATCAAACATTAAAAGAATGAGACCAGCAAGAAAACACGCACTACAAATTCGAGTCGTATGCCTTCCAACAAGCCAGGCCAGAGCCCGGTATTCCTTTCCTTTCCCTGTTGCTATTCCCTGAACGCCTGTTTTCATCACTCAACAAATATGCCGTTCTCCACCCTAATAGACAGGGCGGCACAGTGATGTGCCACCTTAAAGCACCACCATCATCCACTTCAACGTCAATGAGGTATTGTCATTGGGTTCTATCACGAGCCACGCTTGAACTCCATGCAATAGTGGGTAACGTCAAAATGCCGCCCTAAGCGACAGTAGGTTGCTTATTTCTTCGGCCAAGAAGCGTTGCACCATCGAGGTTCAACTCGAAGGCACCCTTCTGACGATTGCGATCCCTGACCTGTTGTCTCGCCGCCGCGGTGACCGTTGCTGAATGCTGGCCATACCCGCGTTGCTCAGCAGTGTTCCCTTGTCTCTCCCTGTCGCGGCCACGCTGAGCTTGCTCGGTATCCTTGATCTGAGTATTACGCATACTTTGTTCCAGGGCTTGAGTGGCATTTTGTGCAGCTGCGCTTTTATGGACATACTCGCGGTTCGCGTCGTTCGCATCTGGCATATCCTCGTCTTCGTCTGACTCATTCAAGCCACCAAGACGTGATGGGATACCAGCCACTTTGCCGCCGACTTGTTTTCTTCGCTTGCCTTCTTCCTCTTGACGGTGAACAGCATAACCAACGTCGAACACCTCACGCAGGTTAACGGCGCCGGGTGAACGGAAGTCATATCTCTTATCGCCATCAACAAGCTTGGACGCGTCGAATGCTCGAAGCATGCCGTCCGGCGTGATGCCGTGCTTCTTTTCGACGACAGGGCTCGGGCCCGATGCACGAACCCAAGGGTGAGCCAGGAATTCTTTGATCGTATAGCGCTGATCCGGATCGACATTCAACAAGTGCGAAATCAGATCCTGGGCCGACTTGGAGATGTCATCCCACCATGGTGATAGGAAGGTGTACTGTCCCTTGGCGACCTTCTCCGTCAAAACTTCTATGCTCTCATCGTAGAAAGGAGGAAACCCGCAAAGTAGGGTGTATAGCACACATCCCAACGCCCACATGTCTACGGACTTGGAATATCGCTCATCCTTGACGATCTCGGGCGCGGTGTAGCCAACGGTTCCGCAGGGTGTCATCGTCTGGTTGTCCCAAACAATCTTCGATAGACCAAAATCCGCAATCTTAATCTGGCCGATGCCGCCAGCACCAACACCCCTGATGAACTCGCCTTCATCGACCTTATCCTCATCGCCCGGCTGCTTTGGCTGTGGGTGCTTGGATGCTACAAATGGTATCGGATTAAACAGGATATTCTCAGGCTTGATATCACTGCATCACATGTGTTAGCCTGACTGAGCTGCTCAAAGTCATCGTGCAATGAATGACCGATTGACTGAAGGCATAAAGTGTGACGTCAGGGAGGCTTGGTAAAGGGGGAAGCCCGATTGGGCAAGCATGACATCAACATCGCAATGCCTCCAAAACAAGCCCAAAAAGACCACCAAAACAGCAAATTCGGGACGACAGTGGTAAAACAACAAAGTGCTGGGAATGCCGTGGATTAGGTGTTTCGAACTATTGCACTTACCGATGAACAACTCCTCGCTCCTCATGCAGATACTCCAAGGCCTTTGCCACCTGGACAATGACATGCCGTGACAAGTCCTCGGAAAAGTACGTTAATCGAACTATTTGGTGGAATAGCTCTCCGCCAGGAGCTAGTTCGAGGATAATGTAGTAGTATTGACGGGATTCGGAGAAATCAACAAGTTTGATGATATTGGGGTGGTCGAGTTGTCGCATTATCTGCACTTCTTTGAGAATATTCGCTCGCTGCACCCGGGTCAGTTATGCCTGTTTGTTAACAGAGAGATGAAATCGTCTAGTCCTCGAGCACTCGAGCGGGACAAGGACCTTGCGAAATGCAAAGCATAGAATAAGAAGTATGTAAAGGAAAGTAAAGAGAAAAAGTCTCGCACCTCTGCGGCCTTGGGGGCCTTTGGTTTGAAATCCGGATGGAGATGTTTTGAGCCCTAATGGCGAAAATCGAAGTTGGTAAAGAAACTTAAGACGGAAAAGGACAAATCACTTCTACGACGAAGAGGAAAGGGTCGGTCTGGACATAAAGCGAAAAAGACCGCCCGGCTGTTTGATAAACTCACCTGCATGTTGTTCATTTCGAATTTCCGGACGACCTTGATGGCGACCTCTCCGGCAGTCCCCTCCCGGTCTCTTGCGCGATAGACGTTGCTGAAAGCACCGTCTCCCATCTTTTCCACTAGCTCCCATCTCTCGAGTCCTGGATACCTGGGGAATTTGCTTCGGCTCTCGTTTTCTTCTTGAACGAGCTTCGCGGCGTCGTCCATCCGCTTCTTCGTCTTCGGTGAGGCGCCTTGTCCGTGATGGATGGCCTGGTTCTCCTCGGCGTGGTGAGCGGCAGCATGGCCAGCCTGAGCGACGCGGTTCGCGCCGCCCTCGCCCGGAGCGACAGAGTACGCATCGGGGACAGCTGCAGGGTGGTGGCCGCCAGGCGCGCCGCCTAGAGCGGGTTCGGTCTGAGGCACCATATCCTTAACAGGTGCTGGGTTGACAGGTTGTGATTGTGGAGGTGAATAATCGTTCTTTCGGGGCGGTTCGTCGTTTGCTACACGCGCTTGCTTGCCTATTAAGAAGAAGAAGAAACTGACGTCAGTAATGTGACATGGAATGCAGCGCGAGATGAGGCATGGACCCTTGGGTTGAGGAGCCCGGGCCACCGGCGTTGACGTCTTTGACGCGGGGCAGCAGCACGGAAAAAAGAGCACATACCATGACGGATGAAGTTCTTCAGCTGCTGCATGGTAGACATGTCGTCGGTCACTGTCACCTTCTGAAAGCAGAAGAAGTCGACCGTTTGACAGGTGAAGAGCGGTTTGAGGCAATGCAAGATAGGATGGGGGAAGGAGAAGGAGGAGAGGAATGTAGAGCAAGAACGAAGGTGTGGCGGTGGTTAGGTAATATTGCTTTGGTGCAGCCAACTTCCTCGCCCTCTTTAAAATGAGGACTCCCACACAAGCGAAAAAAAACAAGGCCCTGAGCGCGCCTTCCTGATATCACGACCCCGAATTGCCTCTTTGGCCTGCGCTTTAAAGTGACAATGCAAGGCTGAAATTGTTTTACTGTGAAGGTAGGGATCTTGGAGAATGGGAAAAGAGGAGGACAAAAAAAAAGAGGGCCCAGTACCAGGACAATAGACAGTCTGCAGAGTGATATTCTTTGAGGATTTGGTTGGCGGATGGTTGGTAAGCAGGGCAGGCACGATGATGTTGTAGGAAAGTGCGGGATGCTGTAGTTTTGTTCTGCGCTGGGTGCTGGGGACACTGGGCGCTGAGCAAGAACCGAGTGGCAGGGAGGGAGGGAGTTGTGGTGGGGCAGCCGCAGCAGCCAGCAATGATCTCAAGTCGCTACTTCCTGGTAAGTGCAGTGACGCCGATGCAGATGGCCTGGTGCAGGTGCAAGGCCAGTTGCGGTACGAGTGGAGCCTGATCTCAATTCTATGAGAGATGAGATTGGAAAGAGCAGCAGAACCAGAACCTGAGCAGGAAATCTGGACAACCCAAGACCAGGAGAGCAAGAGCAACAGCAAGAGCAAGAGCGGCCCAGTGGTTGAGAGGGAGAGTGAGAGTGGGGTGGCTGGATAGGAATGGGGATAAACCTGGAAGTTGAAAAGGCAAGAACTGAAGAGAACCAGAAACCCAGCCAGAAAAAGCAGGAGCGACCCGGGGCTAACGTCAACGTTAACGTATGACGGCTCGTGCTTGCCTTTGTCGTCACTTCTGAGCTATTCTCCTGGCCCGTGTTTCATCCCGTCATCGCTGTCATCATAGGTACTTTAGCTAGGTCGCTTCCCCATGGCAGGCATGATAGGATACCTAGGTAGCTCCAGCAAGGCAAGCGCTGTCGTCGGGTACGGTAATTTACCATCCAGGGAGCATCTCCTCCATAGCTTTGCCTACTTTGCCCCAGAAGGTAGTTCTACTTTACTTTGGCAAGTGATTTCAGTCACGATATCCGGTACTTCGTGGTCTACGTCCTCACCTTAGCTACAGTACCGATCTGCCTCCCCCCTTTCATTCATCAGAACATCCCGGGTTGTTAGAGTGGTGGACTACCTACTCTGCTACTGTATCCGCGCCCTAGTGCCCGTTCAAAGATTAGAGCACATCTTCTTTCAACGGATGGAAGCCATCTATCGGGCGGCGGGTGATGCCTCACGAACCTCAACAAAGACAAAGGAAGAAACAAGTGGCTTCCTGGTCTTCGCACTTCTACCTGACCCTACCGCGGCAGTGCATGCTACCGTACGCAACAATACTCAGGACGCTGAGATTACGCCGCCCAGGCCAATCTACTCTCTACTCTACTACATGGTAACAAGCATGGAGGCACCCTGGGGGTCATCGTCAATGGCGGCAAAAGATGAATCGACTGTTGAGGGTGTGATCCACTCTGCTGTTTTTGCTCTCTGTTCTAGGCCACGGTCGAACAAACAGATGCATCAGCGCACATATTTTTCTCTGGACCTACTATGCAGTAAGCTGCGTCTCACATATTCTCACCAAATGATGGGCGCATACCGGACCCGCAGGCACGCGCTTCAGTAAAGAGGTTTCTGGCTCTCGCAAAAGCCAGGCCAGCCAGGGAGGCTTAGAGGGAGGTCTCCTCCGCTAGGCCTCCTGGGCGAGGTGACCGGGAGACCATGAGGCGGCGGTACGGACCCTAGTCCTGGTACCGGCTGCGCTAGCTTTGCCATGGTTTCGGCGCGAAATCAGGGTTCTGACGTAGGGAGACGTCATCTTGCATCTTAGATTGTCAGGGTACTTCATGCCTCAGGCATCAACAGACCCCAATCTCATCCACCCCCTTGAGGATACGTACAAAGAGTCATGGAATCAGCCTCCACTCCACATCAGCCCAAGCACTCCTTCGATAAAGATGAAATGTGACGCCGGACAGGGAAATGATGAGCAACGGCTGCTAATGCTAATTTGCAACCGCTCCTGCTCTTGTCGGCTGGCGCCAGTACTCAACAACACTCAATAGCATACCAAACGAGCCAAGTACGTGTACTGCTGCTACCCAGGACAGAATGGAGTAGAGAGGGGGTCTTCAGGTGCACTAACAAGTTAGCTAAATGGCCTTGGAGGCATGGGTCTTTGTGTTGTATTGATTGGAGACCTGATACTATCCGGGGCTCTTTGCCGAGAAACTTACCCCCCCGAGGCCCCCTGGAATGCTGCAGAGGAACATGGAATAAAAGCTCCTGCAGATGGCAACGACTGCGTACGAGATGCAGCACTCCTTATTTTCTGTGTTGAGCAGTCTAACAATGTCAAAAAAAAAAAAAAAAAAAGCATCCTCATGTCTAATATTCACATTTGATCGTCTATGGCGAAAGCGTCCCGTGTCAGAAGTCCCTAATTCACATTTAAGGAGTACCGTTTGTACGAGTCGTGCGCGGACTGCCCAGGGCGCCGGAGCTCGATCGATCTCGACTCGGATAGTGCTGCCGTTCCAAGGATAGAATAGGGCACTCGTCTGCAACTTCTTTGGGAGGTGAAGTGGCTACAATCATGTTGACCATGGCCGAATGCTCACCTCGACGGAGCACCACAGTGCCGAGGAGTAAAAACTGTCGAAGGGTCTATTCAATCAGGTGCTGTAGTGAGTGACGCAAAGTCTCCCCGCCTCGACCAACCCCTGATCCAACCGCTTGCGTCCTGCAAGCCGCCCGATTGGCTCCCACGCGCAGATCACCACCGCCTTCAGTCCGAGGACGATCTGGCATGTAACGAGTGTCTATCAAGCATCATGGCAGCATGACTGTAACAGAAAGCACGCGCCATGTATCCCCTCAGTGAAGCTGGATCGCAATGCTACCTAGCTTCAATGTCGTGGCCCTAGTATCGTCAATCTGACACAATCTCCTAACGCACCATAGTGGTATGTAAATGACCTCGTGGCTGCTGCAGTCTGCCTAGGGCTGCTTATTGTACAATGATCTCGATGATCACAATCATAATTCCACTCTCGCTTGAGGCTGATTTGCTACTGCTTATCTTCAACTTGTCGTGCTGCCTCTCCTGAAGGGCATACGAAGCAGTACGTAGTGCTCCATAGAATAGACAGCATCGCTACGCTGTGTTGACAGGGGCAAAGCCCTGTGAGACCCCGGCGCTCCCTTGACATCACTCAGAGGGTGGAGGGAAGCCGAGAGGGCCATCCTGCATCGACGTGCAGCAGCCGAGCTTCCCCCCTCCAGAGCTCATCCTGCAGAGATAGCAAGAAATTTGCGAAGATGTGATCGGCTGATAAATGCAATGAAAGACGAGCAGGGCAACGTGTTGCAACGATGCTTCCTGAGACTGGAGAACTGCCCGTCTCCCCGCGCCGCCATGCATGCTCATCAGCGCTATGCCAACACGAGGTGTAGGCATGGCTAATGTTGGATTCAAAGTGAGCGTGCCCAGATATCAAGCCAGAAATGTGGGCCATTCACACGCGAGCTGCAAGAGACGGGGTCATACCTGTGCCCGAATGCAAAGCAGGCCAGTGCTTCCGGTCGGTAGATCCAAATATACGGTCCGCGTCTCGGCCCCGCGTAGTTCATGTCTTGCTGCCCAAGGCCCGCTCGACATTCGTATCCATGGCCCCAGCAGTGGGATTGACATGTGTGACATGCTTCAGGGATTCTTCTGGTCTAAGCTAACAATCACGACAAGCACTGTTGAGGTACCGTTGGTTTATTGAAAATTCACGATTTCAGAAACGGGCCTGCACCTTCATCAATCAAAGTATCTTGGTAGCACTCACTCTGCTCATACATACTGTCCTTCAATAGCCAAGATCACTGATGGCGTGCGTAGCTGCGAGAGGTAGTTTCACAGAGACGGGATGCATGTAACAAATATCTTTACTCGTTAACTCCAATCACATCCCTCACGCCATCAATGATTTCAGTTATTTTGCCTTCGACATCAGCATTCACACTGATATGAAGTTTCATTTCCTCGTCCAGGTTTCCCCACCCTGTTGTCTTCTTGGCGATGCTTCCAAATGATACTGGGAAGCTTGTCATGGTCCTCGGATCCAAAGGCTGCAGGATTGGCAAGTCTTCCTCCTCGTCTTCGTCTTCGTCTTCGGAGTACAGCGGGACAAAGATCACCCCAATGCCGTAGTCACCCACGGCAGTCCTGATTGCTAGCTTGTGCCACGTCTCGAGTTCCGGATGCGTCAACACCATCAACGCCGGGTTTGCACGCCGGAGCCGCTCCTCTTCAGAGAGCGTGAACACTACGTTAGGACCCGATGCAGACGCATCAGGGGGAAAGGTGCTGGTTACGTGTGGGGCAGGGTGCGAGGAGCTCATAGAGTCGTGCCGGCTACTAGTGATGCTGGACGATGGCCCCAGGCTTGAAGCCACGGAGCCTATCGAGCTTGCGGATCCTCTACGGCTGGTCGAGGTTGATGACGTGCCGCCAAACCCGGTAAACCCCTCGGTGGCAGCCTTAGACTCTTCGGGGAATAGAAGCCCTGTTCGGGTCATCTTTGATAGCCACATGCGCTGGTAACGAGCTCCGTTTGGTCCCGAAGGAACGGGACCGGCAGTATGTATACTCGACTCCTCTTGGATTCTCCTTGCTCCGTGCGCCTCTCCGGCTGCTCCAACGGCAGCCGCAGATGGCCGTGAGGTACCGACACTAGCGGCCTTGGCTGTGGACTCATGCATGCTGTCACCCTGGTAAAGGGGACATGCTAGAGTCTTTGCAATAGATTGAGCAATCTGTACCTTGCCAGCTACTCCGGTGGATGCCATAATGAGGATTATGTACTTGGAGGGCTTGCGCGTGCCCTCTGAGGTGTCCTCTGGCTGATCGGGAAGCCGATGGAGGAGAACTTGCGGAGTTTGAGGCCGCGGTGGGAAATGCGAATCTGACATTGTGTCTGATATTCAAAAGGAGTATCAGCGGCCTATTGCAATAACGACAGCAGGACTTGGTTTTGTATGTTCAAGAGTGTGTCAGTATGAACAGAGAGGGTCGTATGAGAACGGAGAGTTGCAATAACTCCGGTGCGGGGCTGATTTGAAGTTTCCAAATGCTGATGCTGAGCCGCGAACTGGGTCCACTCACAATGAAGGAAATGTCCGAGGGAAAACTTGCATAGCGATTGATTAATCTAGAGCAGGTCACTATCACTCCTGATGTATATTCATTGGCTACATTCGTTCATACGTATGGAGAATTAACCCTTCGTGCCCTGAATTGTTCCTAATCAAACAATTGTTCCACTTGTGCCGTTATGTCTGGCATTGGGAAGAGACTTCTGTTTCCAGCAGTTTGGCCGGGAACCCAAGGGTCTGCAAAAGCCTCATCGATGATATACACAGAGTTACTTCCCATCTGGACTGCAGCCGTTACCTGGAATCCCGCCTCGACAGCTGAGCTTGGATTCGATACTGTTCCCAAATACTCTGCTGTTTGCCAATGATCCTTGGATCGCAGGACTTGGATACCAGAATCATGACTGGATACTAGCAAGACCGTTCCGCCATATTTTGGTGGCGCGTAGATGCCATCTGTATCGAGGTATGTGACGTTCGGAGTCATGGGAACTAGTACCGGCACGCCTCTCTCTCGTCTCATGTCAAAGCGATATATCTGTCCGTCGGCACCATTGTTTGCGAGCAGGACATCGCCAACGGCTACGAGACCACCATAGCCTTCATCAGTCGTGACGATTGTTGGGGGTAGATACCACGGAACCACGGCTTTGCCATGCTTATCTACTTTCATTATGGTTCCTGGCCACGTGCCAACGATATAGGTGTTTCCTCGGCTATCATGCTCGACGTCTTGGAAGCCACCATATTCACCTTGGGTCACCTCGGTGATGTTCAGAGTCCAGAGAAATTCTTTCGTATCTGGATTATACTTCATGATAAGATTGTCTCCAGACACGTCTGCTCCATTCGTTGCCCATGGTGGTGCTGAGTCCACAAGGATCGATACCAAGCCGGTGTGCTTATCCCATCCTACGCCGCCGATGTGTTCTGTGGCACTGCGTGTGATCCCGGGAAATTCTAAAACCTCAAGTATCTCATCATTGTAGGGGTCGTAGGTCGCAACACTCGCATTCCAAAGAACTCTATACAGATATCAGCCTTCTCGTCTGATTCTTTATCAACAGTGGATCTAGTTCTACCCGAAATAGACGAGACAATCCTTTGCATTCCATTCAGCATTTTCTGGGTACAGTTGATACTGATCAATTGTAAAGCTACCGCGGTTAAGTGGAGGGCATTGGCAGTCGGTGGGAAAAGATGTAGCTCTCAGTGCAAACAAGATAGTTAATATGAGGAAGATCATTTTCTACGGTTATGAGCTTAATAAGAGTTAAACCCCAACAGCATGAGAGATATACGTCCAGATATTTTGGAAATCTAGGAGTCAGTGTACGTGAACGTAATGTAGGACGACTGCGTGCTTGAAATATGATCTCGCATGTAGAAAATTGACCGAAACCGAGCTTTTCGGCTTGCCGCTGCAGTGTTACCACACTGTCAGCTGGAATGAAAGGCAAGAATCCTTCTAGGTGAGAATCTGAAGGCAGTGCTAGTTCGTATATGTGCGCACGGATCCTGACCTAGCATTTGGGCACGGGAAAACAGTGTGGGCAATATCATTCGCTGTATAGGCCGTCTCATGCAGGTCGCTTGCGAAAGTCATTTTGTAAACACGATAAAAGTCTATGAGCATTGTTAACAAGTTCAATTAGGGCTCACTAGCTGCATGGAGTCAAAATTGGACTTCCTAGTTAAACTAGCACTTGATATAGTCGAAGGCAAGTGGAGATAAGAAGAACTTTGTTAACTTCTAGATGTTATTGCGCCCTAGCTTCCAACATATGTTTCATTTAAGGCTTCCTATAAAAAGACCCGACCCCTAACAAGTCTTCACCACATTTAGTTTAGCTCGAGGTTATGGAAGCTATCGGTTAAGCCTTGCCGTCGAGTAAGATATTGTGTGATAATCTACATGTGCAAACCTTGACATTGACTGAGTCTTGACCAAAACCACTTTGCGTTATCTCGGAACTGCTAGGTAGTTGCGGATATAACTTTCAATATTACCCTTTCAATCCAGTAGTACGCAAACGGGGTCACTCTCTCTTATCTTTGTGATTTGCGAAGGTTCAGAATACGGGGCTGCCAAGTTCAATTAAGCGAGTACCAAACCCGGGAGCAGAACCGCGTCTGTGGCATGAGTTGATCAAATTGAGGCTTAGTGAGGATTTGAAGTTTCAAACCCAGCATCAGCGCAATATCGTATCAATCTAAGAGGAGGGCAACATGATGTCGATTGCTTGCCGTAAAAAATGTTGATTGTTTTCGCGTTTGGGGTAGTTTTGAATCGATTGGTGGACGAGAAAGGAGGGGTTTCTGCTGTTTACTCTGTGAAGGTGGCATGAAGCAAGGGTGTGTCGGCTATGTGCTCCGAACCAACCGACGAGCAGTGACACTCACCGATCATGCCATCCTATGTACAGCAGGGGGTTTGTGTTCCGGCATTTGGATTTCGGAGCGGCATCTTCCTTGAGGGCAAATGTTTGGAAGTCCCTACACTCGAGCGCAGGTTTGCGAAATGGGTAAAATGAACTCTCTCGTTGCGAGTTTCCAGCCACCATTTCGACTACCTTATTTTTTCCTGACTTTAAAATCTATTGTGATTGTCTAAAGAATTTAAAGACAGCATGCCAGACCATGGTCTGTCCAGCTTTGCCAAAGTCGCGAGCGTCGGTGTTGGTACAGCTCTATTGTGTTTGTCCCTCCCCTACCTCAGTAACCTTACCCGCTCTGAAGGTCTCATTTCCTTCGTAACCGACTTTCCCATTCCGGATTTTCCTTTCCCTTTCCCACTCACATTCGAACCTAAACCGATGCCCTTCATTTGCAAACCATCATCTTATCGCACTGAGATCATCTCTCTCGATCCCCTTGTGATATATATACACAATTTCATATCGCCGACCGAGATTGAGGCTTTGCTTGACATAGCGGAGCCGGAGTTTCGACCATCCAAAGTCTACAAGTATGGACGTGATGATGGCACGAACGACCGCACCTCCAGTTCTGCCGGATTGCCCAGAGATCAACCTGCGGTGTTGTGTATAATGGGCAAAGCCCGTGAATTCATGGGCACAATGATTCGTGATGGTTGGGACGACATAGGAGCACCACAGCTAGTTCGATATACTGCTGGACAAAAATTCAACACACACCACGACTGGTACGACAGTCCTCAGTGGGCAAATGACGGAAGCAGACGAACGTGGAATCGTATTGCTAGCTTCTTTGCTATTTTACAGGACAATTGTACCGATGGAGAAACCCATTTTCCGTACATCAAACCTGTTGCCTTGTACAAGGGCCAGAAAGACGGAAACACGGACATGCAGAAAGATCGTGAAGACCGTGTTTGGCATACACGTGATCCAATTTGGAGACATCATGAGAAAGGGGGGCTTTCTTTTAGACCGATCAAAGGCAACGCTCTCTTTTGGATCAACCTGCATGCAAATGGTACAGGAAACACAAGGACGTTGCACGCAGGGTTACCAGTAGGCGAGGGCTTGAAGACTGCTATGAATATCTGGCCGAAGCAATACTATGGACCGTACTGAGTTCAGCAGTGGTAACGCCTGGATTTAGCTACGAACACCAAAGCTCGACTGCGGAACTTGTTTCCTTTCAATGGTTCTATTTTCATACTGTGATCTGACGCTGCTCTCGGCATCTGGGAATATGTATGACTTTTGTACATTCGCCAGGCAGCGTTCCTCTACCACCAAAACCGTTGCATCGTGGGCCACTGTATTCCTCTATCTAATACACCCTGGGTATTCAATGCAGTCATGCGCCATACACTCTTCGGCCCCCAAACCATGTCTCCGAGACTTTCGCCGCCAGAAGTTTCTCCTTCTCCCACTCCATGTCGCATACAACAAAATCTGCCTTCATTCCTGCCTGCAGACCACCTGACCAAGTCTCAGCGAAAGTACTATAGGCTGCGCCCTTAGTTCCGGCCACGACCGACTCGCAGAGTCCCAAAGCAAAATGCTCGTTGAACGCAGCAGGCCCATCCGGCCCAGGTTCTCGTGCACTGCGCCTCGTCGTAGCAACATACATGTTAGCAAGTGGTGCATGAGGTGCCGTCGGAGCATCGCTACCCAGCGCTAATGGCGCGCCTCCGTCGGCGAATTCCCTATATGCAAATGCCCGCCCGCAACGATGTTCACCAATAAGCCTTGGCCAAGCCCGTAGAATGGCCGGATCACTGTGGACTGGCTGAATGCTAGCTGTGATGCCTAAACGACCTAGGCGAGCAGCATCCTCAGGGGAAGACAACTCCAAATGCTCGATACGTGGGCGTCTGGTTGGAGTCACGCATTCCTCTATCACGTCAATGGCCATCTTGATGGTTGCATCACCAATTGCATGGAGTGCAACCTGAAGACCGAGTGAGTCAGCTTTGCGCACCACCGGTAGAAGCTGGGGTTTTGTCCAGATAGCGTCGGTCGAAGCACCGTTGCTCGAATATGGCTCTTTCAGAGATGCTGTGCACGAATCAATGATTCCATCACAGATGATCTTGATGCCCACAACGCGGCAACCAGGGCTCTTGGTTGCATTGAATTGAGCCGCCAGCTCTGCCGCACGCTCGACTTGCTTCAGGTGTTCAGCCTCGGTGGCGCTCGGCTTGATGAGCCAGTAGGCGGCGAAGCGCATAGGTATGTTGGGGTCGTCGGAGATGAGCTTCTGCAACGCCTCCCAGATGTCTTCGTCCATTGCCATATCAATGAGACCTGTGTATCCAACAGTGTTGTACGCCTCAACTGCAGAGCGAATTGCCGCTGCACGCTCTTCCAGCGAGGCCACTCGTGCAATATGCGGCCAGACAATTGTGAATACCCCTGCTTCCTCAAGTAAGCCTGTTGGGTTACCATCTGCATCACGATGAATCTTGCCGCCAACAGGATCTGGGGTTGTCTGAATATCGAGTTCCTTAACAGCTGTGGTGCTGCACCATGTGCTATGCAGATCCTTTGTGTCGACAAAAATGGGGCGGCCTAGCGGGTCCAGATCATCCAGCATCGCAGAGTTAACCCCATCAGGGGTCATGCTGTGCATCCAACCGCGGCAGGAGATACGCGGGACGGTGGTGTTGGTTTTAGCGTACTCCCTGATGGCTGATCGAATATCCTCAAGATTTTTGCAGTGCTCGAGGCCGACTTTGAGTATAGATTGACCCATGATGAGAGCATGCATATGACCGTCTATAAAACCAGGTAGGACAGTCCGACCAGCCAAATCCAGGGCGGTGGCACCATCTTTCTTCGCGGTTATGATCGAACTGTCGTCTTCGCGGCCCACGTACTCTATCACGCCATCTTTAATGAGCATGCAACTGGAGAACGCGGCCTCCTGATCTTTGCCCTTGCCTGTTCCTGAGGATTGGAACACCTTCCCGTTTACCAATAAAGTGGCGGCCGACGCAGCCATGATCTCTGCCAGATAATGCTTCCACGATATATGTCTTCTCAAGCATCGCGAATCGCCGACTGAGGCTGCCTCGGCATGTTATATATGTGCATCGAACGGTGGGGCAGTAATGCGATAACGGACCCAGCATGCCGTTGCATTCGGTCGGGGACGGCGCTAGCTCCACGTTTAGGGGGATAATTGGCGCAGAAAATGGGCGGAGTTGCAGTCCTAGACTGGGATCCTCGATTTTCTTTGTCATGGTTATCAGATCTTATCTGATCGGGAATCTGTACAATATGGCCCGCAAGCTTACATTTATATATCTGCAGCCCCTGTTGTTGATATCTTCGAACGATAGATGCAAGACTGAGCTTCATTTCTTGAGCTTTTCACAAAATTTGCATTGTAGCCTTCTCGATCCTTAACAATGTCTTTGCGCATGGAGTGCGGTGGTCGGGGCCAGATACCCCCTAGCTCGCTATCTACGCTATCGCCAGGTAGCTATGTATCAGCAAAGCAACCGATTGTCGCGGGCATACAGCGTTCATTCGAAAGCCTGCAGCATCGTCAATTCCTCATACTAACATGCCGTACACACTTGTCACTTTATGCTGTGTCCGACTTTCCCATCTCTTGGGCCTGCTCTCCTTCCAACTCGGCCCGGGTCTTGTATGTCCCGAATTCCCTTACGCTGACTCCTTTCATGAAGAGCTCATCCAGCTCCTTGAAGCTTCTGCCCGCCGTCTCTGGTTGATAGAACCAAAGGTATACAAGACATAGCAGACCAATTCCGCCAAATATGAACGCCGTCTTAGCTCCGAGGTTGGCCTTGTCTGGATTGAAGAGGTACGGAATGACGAATGCCCAGAAGAGGTAAATGAGGTACTGAAGGGCCACTCCAATTGAGATTGTCTTGACTCTCAACTTAGAAGTTGCCACTTCACAAAGCAGAGTATACGCCGTCGCACCAATCGAGATGTTGTAGAAGAAATTGTAGATGACGATGAAGGCCACTGACCCCTTGATAGCGCCCGGGCTGCCCTCCGTGGCGAGGCCGGCGCAGATCATTAGAATGACCGTGATAGAGAACGTCCCCCAGAATGTCAGTGGTCGACGTCCAACTTTGTCGATAAGGTACCACGAGCAAATATTTCCAGCCATTGAGCATCCGTGTTGGGCAATCTGAAGCTTGAAACTGTCTGATGTGCTATAGCCAGCAAGTTGCATATAATATGTCCCGTAGGAAGCTATGAAAAACACGCCGCTCAGGGCCTGGATCGCCAGAGGCATCACAGATATTATTGTACGGCGGAGATTCGATTTGCGGAAGCAGTCGAGATATGTCGCTCCGGCGACCTCTGCCTTGGCCTCCTGAAGCGTGGTGCGAATCTGAGAGACGCGCATGGCAAGATCGACAGGATTCGTGTATCCCAGGCGTTGAAGGGCTTTTGTTGCTCGGTCGTCTTTGTCGACACTGATAAGCCAAACGGGAGACTCGGGTACGAAAGGGGCAAAAATGGCAGAGACACCAGCGAAACCGAACTGTGCACAGAAAACAGCGCGGTAGGCCCACCGGGTCGGACTGTTTCCGGTGTAGTTCACAATGATCGCGCTCGTCAGTGGGCCGATGGTCATCATGAGAGCCGTCAAACACGTAAAGATGCCGCGAAGTGCTAAAGGCGTGACCTGTTAGACGATTCTGTTAATCTTTGAGTCTAGAAGACGGGAGATGCGCAGAAGCTGGTAGAGTGTGTTTACCTCGCCAATGTATGTGACTGCAACAGAGAGGATGATACCGGTCACAAAACCATTGATAAACTTCCCTCCGAAGAACATGGCGTTTGTCGTTGCCACAAACTCCAAGGCAATAGCAGCAAAGGATACAGCAATAGAACCAATCATGAGCGGTTTTCGTCCTATTTTGTCGGCGATGTATCCGGCCCCGAAGGTGCCGACGATAGAGCTTGCGATGGGACCTCCGGAGAAAGCTGACTGCCAGTCTGCATCAAGCACATAGTTTCCTGCATACTCTCTACCGAAGTCCTTGCGGAATTCAGGGATACTAAGCACCATTCCTGATGCCTGGTTCTCAAAAGACACCAGAAGACAGATGAAGACAGCATAGAAAGCCCATGCTGTAGCATATGGCCGCCGTCTTGCAGCCTGTAAAGGCGAGAGTTGATGCTCTTGCTGGTTAGCTAAGGATGCAAAATCATCTGCTGCATTCTGGACATGCTCAAATCCATGCACAGCCTCGTCTTTGGGCGACGTGTTAGTCATTGTTCGAAAGGGAATGGTGATGGTCGGTTGGTTGGGATTCGTATGAGGGCGTCCAAAGGCCTGGACTTGTCGGATGTCACATCAATATGGGAGTTTTCAAAGATTTATATACTCCACTGGATGCTGGTCAATCGTTTCCTGACGTCTTGTCTATCGTCGGTCAGTCATATTGGATATCCGAGTCCGGGGCCCCAGCTGGAGACTCCAGGAAATCTGCCCACGTTCATCGGAAGCCATGGGCACGAGGACACCAAATTGAGGGAGAAGCAATGCAAAATGTGGGCCGGGGAGTATCGGTGTGGATATCTCGAAGAGCCGTGGCGCTCACATGCACACCATCGACGGTATAAGTCTTTCCTGGAGGCAATTAGCGGGGCAGCCGAAGACGCAAGGAAAGTGTAGATTTGCCTCTCTAGGGATGAGGCGGTCTTTGATCAATGGGCAACTAAGCTAGCCCATTGGGTCTCGACTTGTTCAGGTCTCGATTGGCGCGCATAGTGGCGTTTGAGTCATGACTCGCAAAATTGCGCGGCATAAAGGTGGGAAGTTTGAGCATTCCCACTAAGGTGATTGATAACGAGGAGGCTTTTCGACTCTGGGGAGTATCGGCGTGAACTCTTGTGAATGGCATCGGTCTCAGAGGGCCCAAAGGCGTACAAATGGAGCCATTACTTACGAATCTGCTATCTGAACCCCTACCTGTCATGCGAACTCATGCGATGCCGCGGCAATCCTCCCCCGCACTGTCTCCAGCCAGCCCCGGCTCAGTGGAGATCACATCCCCCGGTCCGATACGTAGCGGTCCCCGCGAATCCGCTTCTTACTCTCGGAGACGGGCAGGTACGGCATGTGTCGTTTGTCGGGCCCGGAAAACCAAATGTGATAACCAACGGCCGGTGTGTGGGTTCTGCGCGGCGACTGGGGGAGCCTGCAAGTATCCCGATGACGCCCCTTCCGACCACTCTAAGTTGGATAGGGGAAGCCTAGCAATTCTGCAAAGGATAGGCGAGATGGAGCAAAACATTACAACTCTACTGCAACAAGACGCGCGTAGCCGCCAGTTCATTGCACACAATGCTTTTGTCGGAGGAGCTACCGAAGCTTTTCAATCAAGAACTCCAGGAAGCGATTTGGGTGGGAGTAGCTTTCATAAGACACAGAACCAGCCCGAAGATGACCAGCCGCCTACTGCCGACATTATATTTGAGAGCGCCGAGATGACCATTGAGAGTATATTACGCTGGCCCGTGTTCGAATTGGAGGAGTCTGTCCCCCTAGTGTCTATTTTAGGACAAGTGGACATTATGAAGACACCTGCAGGAGACAATATCTTTGACTTAGAACCCGAGATGGTTGCCCAACTAGTTGAAAACTTCCTGGCTACCAATCATATAAAGAACCCCATCTTCGATGTTGATCGACTTTGGATGCAAGTCAAAGAATTCACAGATAGCGGCTTACGATGGAACGGTACAACATGCCTAATAGTAAGTGCAATCTCTATCAACACTGGCAGTATTGCACCTCATGTACAGAAATAGAAGCTGATTGGCTTCAGCTCTTGGTCTGCGCTGTGAGCGTATTGTCACCTCCAATAATGTTGGAAAAGCAGCCTGGATATTCCCAACGACCAGATCGGCTTGCACGTGCAGAGATGTTCTTCCAGGCATCACAGCGCCGCATCGGCGTGGTATATCACGAGAACTCGCTTTTGACGATGCAATGTAGCTTTTTAACGGCAGTTTATCTAATGAGCACCTTCAGGATTCTAGCAGCTTGGAAGGCATTCTCTCAGGCCGGAACGCAGTGTGTGGGGTGGTTGGCAACGCGAGGCCGTGTAGTGGAGAGCCGCAATCGATTTTCTCCCTCGGAATTACAGAGTAAGCATGATGAGAAGAACAATGAAAGATATGTCGAAGAAAGCCTGTACTGGAGTTGTCTGAAGAGCGAGTTGCAAGTTTCCCCTCATACATCGACCGGTTGCGACACATACTGACCAATGCTAGGGAGTTACGCACTGAGCTAGGCCTTCCAGGTTCGAGTCTCAACGAGATGCACTACCCTCACGTATATCCATCACCTCCAAGCCCCAGGCAGCCTGTCAGATCCGGTGAATCGTTTCCAGAAGCCGATTCGGATCGCGGCCGTGAATGGCTTGAGTTGGGATGGTTTTTCTATCTCGCTGAGATCGCTTTACGGCGTATAATGAATGAAGCCCTCTCCGCAAGATACTGGCGAGGTTCTTGGTATTACACTACTGAGTGGTGGACCCACGAGGAGCAGGGTCAATTCCAAAGTCGAGTCGACGAGTTCAAGCAGAAACTAGAGACCTGGTATGAGATGCTACCTCCACCAATGAGGTTTCCTCGTAACGCAAATGAGACTGTCGGTGCAGATCCCTTGCGAGGCATTCTGCGAGGTCATTTCGTTGACATTCTAGACATGGTTTTGTTCCCAGCTGTTCATGCTGTTGTTCTGAGGGATCCGAGCGAGGTCAGTCAAAGTATTCTTATATGCGCTCGAAAGGCTCTTGCTACAGCAGTGGACCGTATTACCATCAGCAGCGAGGGTTTCTGGCACCGTCATCAAGGAACATGGTTGATGATTCGGACCTGCTCCCGAAGCGCGCTCCAACTATTGGGAGTGGCAATGCGAGCTCAAAAGGAAGGGAGGGAAGGAAGAGATGTTGCGTTTGCCAACGACCTTTTGCCAGATGGATGGAGAGAATCTGTGGCAAGCGTGATTGCATTAGTGGCGTACTGGGAGGCAGAGAGTCCAGAGCTAACAAGGTTATTGGCGCGGTTGAAAGAATTGTATGGAAGAGTTCAAGATGAACTGATGTTATAGCAAAATGGCGAAGAAGATCCTTGCACATAGCGAGGAATATTGACCATCGAGACAACTGTCGGCAAGGAATACCTTTCCGAAGAACCTTCCCTGTAGTATGTCTGTCCAACTAGTTCACCTACTAGTGGGCGTGACTAGTTCCGGGGATGGAGGCTTCGGCGAGGACACCGATACTTCCCGATCGGCCATCAGCCGATACTCCCCGGACCACTTTTATTGAGCTTTCGGATTCGGGCCACGGTCACGAGAGGCGTATAGATCTTTGTGTATCATTAGGTGCATGGAGAAGCTGTTGTCCATGCCAGTAGTACCGAGGCAGCACTTTTTGAATCCAGCTTGGTAATGACTGGGATGTCACGCGCGAACAGTTTTTGTCCTAACGCTGAATCTCGTTCAGACCTTTTAAAAGAAATTGAAATAATACGACCATCCAGCCAATTCCTCTCCTTCTGAGCTCGGCCGCGTGCTGAACCCTCTTTCCTGTTAATATCATTAACAATTGTATATCACATTTCGTGTGGAGTATTGACAGATAACATGACGACCTTGACCACCCTGTTGAGAGAGGATGAAGGGTCGCCGTCCATCTCGTTTAACCCTGCTCACACTATCTCGGAGATAGATCCACTGATATATGGTGGATTTCTAGAGTAAGGAATTCAAATCGTCCGCCCGTCGGATCAGTTGCTTATCAGTTGAAACGCGATAGACACATGGGACGATGCATCTATGGTGGTATCTATGATCCGCAAAACGAGAATGAGCACCTACGCAATTCAAACGGGTTTCGCACAGATGTGATGACTTGTCTCAAAGACGAGTTGAAAGTCCCGGTGGTGCGGTACCCAGGCGGCAATTTCTGTGCAACTTACCGTTGGCAAGATGGTATTGGCCCCAAAGAAAAGAGGCCGAGACGCCCAGAACTTGCCTGGGATGGAATCGAGCCCAACACTTTTGGAACAGACGAGTTCATGGAATGGTGCAAAGCCGTCGGAGCAGAGCCGTACCTGTGCCTGAACATGGGAACCGGTACGCTCGAAGACGCACTGGCGTGGGTGGAGTATTGCAATAGCGACAAGGACACATATTATGCGAACCTAAGGAGGCAAAATGGCCATGAAAAGCCGTACGGTGTCAAGTACTGGGCTCTAGGGAACGAGATGTGGGGTCCATGGTAAGCTCAAATGTCCTTCGATGGAGGATGACGATTTTTGACCACGATATTAGGCAGGTAGAGCAACACACAAAGGAAGACTATGCCAAGAAGGCCGTCCAATGGGCTAAAGCCTTGAAACTCCTCGATCCCTCTGTCAAGCTTATTCTTTGCGGGAAGGACGGCTTCTCAGACTGGGACCGCTATGTCTTACAACAGTGTATCCGATACGTGGACATGCACTCAATTCATTACTATTCGATGGGTAGAACTCATTACAAAAACATATCATCAGTTTATGGTGCCGAGCGGGCTATCCAGGTTTGCTCCTCGCTCATCGACCTTGCTCGATGCGAAGTGGACTTGTCACCATATCCTGATGTGAGCCTCATTAATATGAGGCCCAAAAGCGAGAAACGCCCAACCATTTGCTTTGATGAATGGAACGTGTGGGATTCGGAAAGAGCCCCTGGAAATAAGGGCGCCGAGGAACTGTACACTCTCAGTGATGGTCTAGCGGTAGCAGTGTGGCTGAACGTCTTCATCCGAAACTCCAAAGAACTGGGAATGGCTACAATCGCTCAAAGTGTGAACGTCATATCCCCACTCATGACAACCCCGAATGGCGTTTGGAAGCAGACAACGTATTTCCCATTATATTTGTTCTCGAAATACATGCACGGAAAATCGGTTGCTGTCCATGTCCGTACGGGGACATATGAAGGAGAGACCTTCCCGGATTGGGTCAGATCAACCTGCAAAATCCCGAAACTCGATGTTAGTGCAGCACTCAGTAATGATGGGTGGATGAACGTCGCGGTGGTGAACACGGACGAAGATCGCAGCTTCACAGCAGATTTTGATGGATTAACACTCAAGGAAGGACAAGAGGTCGAGATCTATACAGTGGGGGGGACTGAGTTCAGCGGAAGAGACGTCAATGCTGAAGGCGCAGAGAAGATTGGCATCAAGGAGAGTCGATGGGATGGCAAGAGCAAGGAGTACACTTTTGAGAGGCTAAGCTTTACTTTGTTAAGATGGATGGTATGATCTGCTAAGCAATGTCTTGGGACAAAATAGACTTAAACTAGAATAGAAAGAATTCAAAGAATTGAGAATTGTATGGAAGTTCAGGAGAATTTTAGCTTCAACCGGAGGAAACCTCCGTTCAGTCAAATAGTACCAACATCTGATTCTCCATCTAAGCTTTTCGACAATGCCTTCATTTCCTTTGGGACGCAAGGAAAATTAATCATGATACAAGCCAACTAATCTCGACCCAGTCAATGCTTACTCACCTCCGGTCTTCTAAGAAGAACACTCGTCTGAAGGCAAACATATCATCGAAGGTACAGAATTCTGGCGCCCCGAGTTCGAACTCCAACGGCATCTCCTTGAAGTGGTCCATCAACAACTCCTTAAGCTCCCTCTCTTGATCTTCACTCAAATGTCTTAGAAGATAAGCCATGCTCAAGTGTAGTTCATAAGAGCTATGTTGTGGGTGACGGATCTGAAGAAGATCCGAGAGTCTGTCACGCAGCTCCCGAAGCCTCATCTCTTCCTCGTCCGTGCGAAGCTCTACGTGAACACCGATACCGATCTCGAGGGGACTGAAGCCTGTAATCTTCGCGAGATACGGTGGGTCACATTGTAGACTGAACGAGGAAAGTTTCTCCTCGAATAATGTAGTGCACTCCTCCATTGTTGCATCGAAACTTAGATCCGTTGGCCAGAAGCCGGGCTTGCGAACTTGGTCACAAACACCCTCAAAAATAGTCATGTGCCAACTTGACGGTGGTAACATAGTATATAAGTGTGATAGGTGACTCTTGCTTAACTTATCGTAAAGCCCGAGCATAGAAATGTACAACTCGCTCGATGGGGCAAGATGAGAGACGACTGTGTTGCCTGGGAAAGGCTGTACATTCCCGTCTGGGTCAAATTTGCTAGGCACCCCACGAGGGTATCTTGGTCGACTTGTTATTTGATTCATCTCTATTCACTAGAGAAGGGTCACACGCTACTAAACGAGTTTGTCTTTTGAAATGACCGAATAACTCTGATCACATCTTGGGGCACGTGGAGGGGATGTGGGAGATTGGAGGTTTTCCTCGAGAACGGGCTTTCGCCTTGCCTTGTTTTTAAAGGGATATGTATCCGTAGGTCGGAGGGGATCTCGTAGTAGGCCGATTGGTCTAACAATACCACGTGCTTCTTTAGGTTGTGTAAGGCAATTGGTTCGCAAATCATAAAACATTGGCCGCTCGTGAAATCGATTTATTTGCACTAGGGAGCTTACTTTCCAGCAGGTTGAAACCCGGAAGATTCGGGTGTATCCTCAGGTTGATGCAATCCAATCCAATCCTGGAACCTGAACTGGCACGCTTATTGGGAGGCCATCAATACTAGGTTACCGTGGACGCCCGTGGGCATTTGAACATGTAGCTACTTTTACAAAACCTATGCTATGTACCTAAAATACAAAACCCCTCGGACCTGGTTCCTGTCACCGCTTCCGAGGGTCTATCTTCTAATTCTTCATGGGAAGAACTTCCCCGTCTTCATCATCACGAGCAAACGCCATTCCCTCTAGAGACCTGGCCGCCTTCACGATAGGCGTATCTACCAACCGCGTGAACACGTCCGCAGCCCACACAAGCATGCCGCCGAGTATGCAAAGTCCTATGAACCAGCACACGGTACGCTGTGTCGGCGTGCTCTGTCCAGTGAGGCCACGCACTCCCCAGGGCAGCACCTCGGGCTTGTCATCTTTGGCAGCCTTCCACGCCGCGCCGAGCACATAGTGCTCGCAGATATTGAGGATGGGGTGCTGCAGGATGTAAAACGCGAAGCTGATGCGGCCAGCGTACTGCGCCGGGCCACTTTCGAGCACCCGGCGAATTGCTAGCACGCGAGCGCACGCCCATACAATGCCAAACGCCGCCAGTGCGTACCAAAAGGCGTGGGCACGATCCGGCGCATACTGCGACGGTACATGCAACATAAGCCAGACATAGCTGGGTGTGATATCACCGGGCCTGGACGGCAGCGAAATGATGTACCCTGCGGCCGCTAGGACGATCAAAGGGGCGACACGCTCCACGAAGAAGGAGATACCGTCCTTTGGAGATTTGCCTCCGTGTCCCTGGCTTCCATCATGATGGTCTACGGTTTGCGTGCTCTCCTTGCTGATGTGGAAGTCAGCGAGCAGCGCGCCCGCCAGAAATTCAAAACTTGCCCACCGACCACACAGCAAAAACATGTATGCCATGCACAGCGCCAGCACTGTTTGTCGAAGAGCGGGACTTCGGAGCCGAGATATAGCCAACAATACCAAGAACAGAAGCATTGAGTGGGTGAACTCGATCGGAATGGTCCACAAGTGTGGGTTGTACTTTGAATGCGGCGATCTATCATCCCAACCCCAAGGCCATGTCAGGTTCGCAACAGCATCTTCAGCCCATTTTGTCATCTGTGCCCATAGGCTCGGCTCTGGGTGTATGAAGTTGTTCATGAATCCAAGTCGAACAAGGATCACATCCGTGAGCGTCAACACTAACGGCGGACCGAACAATCGAATGGGACGACGGAAGGCAGACGATGCAAGCACGGCATGACATTTCGCAATGGCGCCTGACCGAGGGCTATGTGGATGAGAGGGGGATGCTGGTGATCTCTGCTCATATAGGCATTTCAATGGTCGGTAGGCAAGGGCAAAGCCGGAGATGACGAAGAAGATGTGCACCATAGGCGTGCCAGCGTAGACAATACGGATGTAGGGCAATTGTAGGATGGAAGAGCCCTGGTCGGGAGGGTTCGAGCCGTAAGCGGGGAGGAAAAACTTGTGGTTGTAGTCCGTGTAATGATATGCAAACACAGAGCATGCAGCAAGGCCGCGGAGGCCGTCGAGATAGGAGGTCGGATGTAGCTTCGAAGGCTTCCGGCGACGCTCTGGTTGGATAGCATCGGCAATGAAGCTCGGGAGTAGAACGAGAAGGATGCCACTCGACAAGAGGGCGGCGAACCGTCGACGGACAGTCATTGTCGTGATTGTTCGGGTGAGCACGCGACACTCACTGCGCTCAAGATGGAGATCTATCTCCAGCGCTCGGTGACAGGTTCGAGTGAGTCGGACCAAAGCCAGGGAAAGCGACTGAAGGCTCTAGCAAACCGTCATCGACGTTTGGGCGTTTCTAATCATGCTCCGAAATTGTAGCCAGATATAGAAGACAGGAATGAGGGCCGCTTCGCGGTCATCGTTTGCTTTAAAGTCTGTCATTTTCGTCTCGCTCCGCGGTCCCTGAAGGGAGGGCGGTGCAAGTCTTGGCATACCCGAGCAGGCCCTAGAGATGATCAGCAAGGAGCAAATACCAGTTGCGTTAAACCGGCAATCGGTTGTCCTGCTAGGCTATCAAGGCAGCCAGGACATCCCGCTGTGCATTTCGTAGCAAACAAGCAGGAGACACTGTGTTGGGGTCGGCTGGGAATCTTCCATAGCGGCTTGGCAAACGCCTCTGGCCTGGGTTTAAGGTCAACTAGTGGTGTAAGATGGTCAGGGAGGGCAGGTCGTACAGTGCAGAATGATAGACCGGATCAGCTCAGCGGCAGCAGATGCTGGACAATGCTCACTAATAAAGAATGTGAAAGCCCACTTCGAGCGACACAATCACCCCTGGCCGTGATGTGCTCTGCTGCGCTGTAGGGGTGAATGGGCTCATCAATTGATGCACACCATCCTCAAGATTGACGTCAGGATTCACTACTTGTGCGTCTGAATAAGGTTGACAGTTTCGGGGCTTGAACGCACGTTCGGGAGGGAGGCTTAAGTGAATTAAGGTAACACACTTCAGATGGACGCGTGTCGGCCCCCTCCGCCCAGGGGACATGGTTCTTTCTGGCCCTCTTCTCTTCACGTCTCAGGTCCCTCCAGTTATTTAGCGGCCCTACTAAGGCAAGGCACAAGTGACCCCTCACCAGGATGGCACAGGATAATTCGAGCCCCTGTTATCAGATGGTCACTGGCGTCACGCGTCTCGAGACATAACACCCGCATCACTCGCCCCTAAAATCTATCGTTTCCCCCCGAGTACGTATCATGGAATGGCTCATCGACTAAGAGCGTGCCTTTACAAGATAAACACCTCGTTTAGCGAGCACTGGAAGTTCGGAAGACTTATTCTCGACGCTAATATTCGGACGGAATTCATGAGCTGGAGTGAAGAATTGGCGGCTCAACACCTTGACTACCCTATGCTATAACTTAGGGCTCAGCTATAGACTGGTCTACATTCGTTTGGCATGTATATCAAATATTTGTTTGATCATAGGGGGTCAAGATGCGCTATTTACTCTGCTCGAGGATTCCACTCATTGTCTATCTCGTCCAAGAGCGTCGCGTCCCCATTAGATAGGGTTTGAAAAATAGTCTCCAAACTGACGAGCTTGAAGCTAGCCTCAGCCGCGGTTCCCCCTACTGGCAGCTCGTTCGAGTCATCATGAGTGACAAATAGGCCGTGCGGGAAGTCAGAACCCAGAGCTGTCCCAATGGCCGCGATGCCATCCGTGTTGGTTACAGCATCGATGCTACCGTCTGCCGACGCGCCGATTGAGAACGTGCCGACATAAGCATGCGGCGATTCTCGGCGATAAACATTGTATGCGCTGACTCCTTGACAAGACACGATGAGGAACCCCTGGCTAGGTGCAGGTCCTACGACAAGAGTCACTCCTTCAACATCACCGTACAGTTTGCCGATGGGAACATCGTCATCGACAGTAGCTACTGCGACTGGCTCGGTTGCTGCATCTGGTTCCGCGTCGTAGCGCCAGAGGGCGTAGGGCTCTTCGCCGATGAACACCCATCCGTTCTCTTCATCAGACACGCAACCCTCCACCTGACCACCACTCCCACCAATGAAACTCCGCACAAGAGCTGTCTGCAACGTACCATTATCTGTTGCTGTCAACTCATATTGCAAGTACTCGGCAGATTTAGTGTTTACGAAGAGATATTGCTTCCCAGTCGTGGGCGATTTGTAGGTACATGAACCATACACTTCATAATCTTCGGGAGTCGGCTGGGATCCTCCCGCGATATTTGCCAAGCTTCCATCTGCGGCGATTTCGAATAGACTGAGCAGTCGTTAGCTAGACAGTCCTGAAACATTATAGCAGAGTAGCTTCACCATAGAGTACTGTTTTCACGGCAAGCAGCATAGGCAAGATCGATCGTGCGATCTCCTGCCTGGAAGCCATAAATGACATCGATGTTATTCGGCTCTCCCGCGGCGAGGAACTGAAGAAATTTGCCTTTGAGATCGAACACGCCTAGACCAGTCTGGTCTCCAGACTTGGTAGTAGTGTAGATTCGTGACTTTTCGGGATCTTCTGGAGAGATCCAAATGGCAGGGTCATCGCCATCTCCACCGTTTGCCTCTGTCTCGTATGTAGCCTCGATAAGCGCGAACCCACAATTGATGCCACCCCATCCTGAGTCACAAGAGCACTGGTTCGGCCCAATGCAGGCGCCATGGCCTGAGCAGTCGTTCGTGCAATGAAATTCGCTGCATGTTGAGCCGCCAAATCCGGCAAAGCAGGAGCATACACCGGAGTTTGAAAAGTAGCCACTGTATGAGCAAGCCTGGCAAATAGGTGATGCTCGTTTGCATGGTCGGCGTCGCGGGTCATATCCTGTGTTGATGGAAATTCCCAGTGCTTGGAGAGCTCCCTCGAGAGAGCTGACACCAAACCCCTTGAAATCCTCAGCCTCAATGGCATACGTAAGCGCACCTTGAGGGTATCCTTCCAAAGATCGTTGATAGATGGCCACTCCTTGTATTTCAATGTCTTCAAGTCTTGCGAGCTCAAGAGAGCCGATTAGACCAAAAGATGAGGACGTATCATATACCCCAATGATATCACTTTGGGCAATGAAGACATAATCAGAAGACGAGGAGACGTACGCGGCGATTCCCGTAATGTCGTCTTCCGCTTCGCCCACTTTGGAAATATTGGGGCTCGCGGTTGATTCGGCAAGGGGAAACGCAAAAATGTCCTTGCTATCATCGCCAGTGAAGAACATGGTGCCCGCAGACGGCGCAACCGCACAAGCTGACGCCTCGATTGGTGTTTTGAATGTTTGTACCTATGAAACTTGATGTAAGAATCAAGGCGGTTGCCGGATTCAAATTCTCCTACCTCAAGAATCTCTGGCCCATTGCCTGTATCACGGATGAGGAACTGTATCGCCTGGTTCTTCCCGAATAAGTAGAGATACTGGTTACGTGCATTGCTCCTCCATGCGCAAAGAGCTGACCAGTCGCCAATCGCTGCAAAAGTGCCATTGGCAACTTCCGCAACGTCAGGGAGCTCAAAGAGTCTTAAAATAGAATCGGGTTGCCCAATAGTCACTGCATAATCCTTTCCATTGAGTGCGTATACCGTCGAGACCAACTTGGTACGTCGTCCAGGGGTCACGGCTTCAACCTCGCTCAAAGGAGTCGTGGCGCTCAGAGACCAGACATGAAAGCCGCCGGACGACGCCTCGCCATCATTACCAATAAGTAATGATGCATCTGCGCCAGAAGGGTAATACACAGCTGACCAGTCAGACTCGACCTCTTGTGTGAGTGCCGTCACATTGATAGCCACTGACTGAACGGCAGCAACAAAAGCGAGGCTCAAAACCAAGTGGAATCTCACCATTTTGCGACAGATCTGTAAAACATGTTGGAAAAGGCGTACACTGGTGAGCCTGACGAGGATATCGAAGTAGTATATATAATAAGGTGAGCGAACTCCCCATGGACGGCCGTCAAGAGCACACGAAATCCCAACTGAAGAGCAGCTGTCCACTTGGTCGCGTGCCTTGGCATTGATTGTGGAGGGATTCTTGAAATGTAGAACCCAGTCCGCCAAGAAAGCGTGTCGGCAACCGCTCTTATGATTGGGCTCACCTTGCAGCAAAAGTCTGGGCATTGATTTGGCTTCACTGAGCTTCGCCGTCTCTCCCTGTTAGTCGGTCGAGCACAACAAAACGTGTGCCTCAGCTAGATCGTTTTACTTCACCGACAAGAAGATAATCTGAGCAACGTTGGAGGCCGGATATTTCGTTGCAGAGGTCCTAGAACCATCGCCCACGTGTCTAGAATTCGAGGCTTCAACTGCCTGGCGCAGGCGGCAGTAGTGCGGATACTGCAGTTTTGTTTCGTAGAAAGCTAAATAAAGAGGATATTCTCACCCGACTTCGGTATTAAGAATTACTGAACAATGACTTTATAATCAAAATGCCTTCAGACTTCCGAAGCGCGCCATGTCGCTTGACACCAGAGCCACCTGATCACTCAAGCCATTCTCGATAGAGACGTGTCAAATATCGAGCGGTCCGCGGCTTAGCACCCAAGCCCAATTCCGGATTTCTCTGCGCTCTTAAGTATTTGTCGGTCCCCAAAGGTCAGACAAAAGATGCCCAGGCCCCGGAGACTCAGGTCCCCGAACTGTCTTGCGCGCGATTGTAAGAATAGGGCGGCTCGGGAGTATGTCAGTCTCATCTGTCAGAGAACCAAGAAGCTCTGGGTCGGTATCGAGGCCTTGTGAAGTCGACGAACGTGAATGTGTAGGTGTTGTCAAGACGGGTCGGGATCTGTAGAGGAAAAGACGACTTGTTAACACAATTCCTCTCGACATGGCATACTGGTACAAGTGTAACAATGTTAATTGAGACGACTTGTACACGGAGAAGGGATACATCTTATTGCGAAAGGACAGGCGTAAGCTCGCCCAGCGCTACAAATTGACTGACGTTGGCGCTTCCCTCGGATGGGATATGGGATGGTCAAGAGGTGCTGACAGGTCGCGAAGCGAGTCGCGCCCAATGTACACCTGGCCGAGTTTGATCATGATACTCCTACGTCTCTTTCGTTGTTCGATCGGAAATCGGTAAAGCATGCGATATCGAGCAGATATGCGATGACTGTTAGTCCTCCGAGTGCGCCAACTTCAGGAGCGAGACAATTGAAGAAGCATCGAAATAAACAGCCGTTTGCAAAGTTATGCGCTGACATAATCGTAGCTTTTGGTGGGAGCACTGCGTTAGTGGCCGCTGACTGCCGCTGTAATTGTTGTCATTGGCTTGGCCATCTTAGGTATCGGAGCACAACAGATTCGTTTCCGACAGGCCAACCACGATGTTGTTCAATGTTCATGGCACATCCCATTATCATTGTACGAGGTAGAAAACAATTACTAACATTGCACAAACAGACACCCGGTAGCAGCTGCTCTTGACGAGCCGCGCTACTGCGATTGCAGACACAACTCTTCAGATTGCCTAGCATAAGCTCCGTTGCGCGTTTCGGGACAGCGAACCGCGATACGCCATCGATGTCGTCGTACTGATTCGCGTTACGAAGCCTCCATGATCATCTTGAATTCACCACTCGAGATTGAATCAAAGAGCACGCGCAATAAAGGCATGAGTTGTGAAAGTGTCACCATGTTATACGCAAGCATAGGTATCGAGATGTTGTCCGGCTTGCGCTCCGCGGAGATGCCTCCTCGCCCGGGCGCCCAAGCATGCCAAAAGCATGTCCCAAACTCTCCGTACTCCGCTATAACAAGCTACCGTTGTCCCGGGATCTAGGCTAAGTTTGGAGTTTCTCTTAGCAAATATGACGCCCGTTGACTCGTTAAACTGATCATACTCCCATTCTCATACGTTCAGTTTTCATTCTTTTAGTCACAAGTGCTGCGCTGTCGCACACGACGTCTCAAAAACCTCTTATTGCGACATTCGGTCTTCGGTCGAGGGCCGGTATTTCTATGGACGGTCAAAATGGCACGGCGGGTTTGCTCAAACGGCATAAATCCTCTCTCCGGGATGAAGTGTAGTACATGATCATTTGTCGTCACCCTTGCATTCTCCTCAGCGCCTGGATCTCGGTTGATCTGCGCAGCTTGGGTGCGATGATGTCTTGCAAGCTTTCTAAATGGCATCTGGATATTGATCGTTACCTGAATCCCATTCTCCCACGTCCACCATGGCATTGGCTGCCTTACCCGGTGTCTCATTTCCTTGGACATCGCACAACAGCGAGAACGTCGAGCTCCCTAGGCAATATTCCCATCATTTTCTGGGCTGCTATTGGAATCTTCTGTGGTTTGACTCTTGTCGAGGTCGTCGGCCACCAGATTCCTGCCTTTCGTGACCATGGTGCTCCTTTGATCATCGGCAGTTTTGTATGCACATATCAATTTGCTCTGCTTGCCACGGCACCAGAGTCATATGCTAAGTATCTCGATAGGGCGCCGCAGCTGTTCTCGAGTTCTATGCTATCGAGTCTGCTCTGGCACAGCCACGAAACTCCATTGTCGGCCAGCTCGTCGCTTCAGTTGTCGGAATCTGCATCTGTAAGCTTTTTGCACTCAGTCCACGGGTTGAGGAGATCCGATGGCTGGCTGGACCTCTTGCATGCGCTTTAGCGACGGCAGCCATGGCTTTGACCGGGACCACTCACCCGCCTGCTGGAGCGACTGCTCTACTTGCAGTTGCGGATGAAAATATAGCTGCCATGGGGTGGTATCTCGTTCCGGTGGCTATGCTTGGATGCGGACTGATGCTAGTCGTCGCATTGTTAGTGAACAATATTCAACGACGGTATCCCGTTTATTGGTGGACGCCAGAGGAAGTTGGTCATATGTGGAAACGAAATGTAGCCCAGCAAAAGTCTGGCGAGGAAGACGATGAGCATTCTGCCGCAAAGGTCGAGCCAAGCTCCCCCAACATCGAAGCGCGGATATCCCATGTTGAGGGCCCAAGGTTGGTCATAATGAAAGACCTGGTCATGGTACCGAAGGACATGTTTTTGCGACCTGAAGAAAAGACGTTTCTTGAAAGTTTGAGCCAAAGATTATAGAATAGAAACAATTGATATGTCTAGATGGGACCAACTGGTCTATTTACTCATCTCGTTGTTTGATAGCAAACGAGTTGTGAGCTTCATCACCAGAGGACCAGCTCTTCAAATGGCCGTCCTGGTTCTGATGAGATCAATATTCAGAGCGGTTCCTCATCTCACAACATGTAAAAGATGGCTGTTCATTAGAGCAAAAACCATTCTGCATCAAACTTGCATCATCAGTAACCGAGGATGTGATGCAAGTGACTGTTTCTAGGCTAATTTCATTCGAGCATTTTGTACGCGTTTGTGAGTTCCTCGTTGGCAGCGCTGCATATTCTCTGTCGAAACTACACCACATCTAAGATCGCAAGCTGTCGAACTCGTCCAGCCACAACAAACTCATGGCTAGGCCGTGCTTATATGTCAGCGGGTCTTAGTGTCGTACACAGGGGAGGAATTAGTTTATCTCCGATAAGTACATGGGTTTCGGAACGAAACCCGCGGGTTTAACCGCCTGTCGTCGCATTCCCGGTCAGCAAGTCACTCCACTGGGTATTGTGGCACAGCTATATAAAGCATTGAATCCTCCCATTGCGCAGACCCGATACAAGAATTCAAAATACGTATCCAATAAGTCTCAAGTCTAGGACGCATATTGTCTCACGGCTCTTCAACAGTTAGCACCACTGGAATACAACGACTTCGAGAAACTCTTTGCACAAGCATCCACAATGCATCTCATTCTCACAGGCGCCACTGGAATGATTGGTTCTAGCGCTCTAGATGCCATGATTGGAATGAAAGAAATCACAAAGATCTCGATACTGAGCCGAGGACCTGTAAAAATGGCGGAGGATGCTAAGGACCCACGAATCAACGTGATCACCCACAAGGACTTCGCACAGTATGACTCCGAAGTCCTCACCCAACTCAAAGGAGCGTCTGGGTGTGTTTGGGCACTTGGCGTAAGCCAAACCAAAGTTAGCAAAGAGTACCTAAATCTTTCAATGCCAAATGAAGACACTATGCTAATGTTCATCATAGTGACTATGTTAAGATCACTAGGGATTGGCCAGCCGAGGCTGCGAAAGCATTCCAAGCATTAACGCCTGAGAACGAACCATTCAACTTCGTCTATGTGTCTGGTGTTGGAGCAACAACAGAGCCAGGTCTCTTCTCTGCATTTTGGGCAAGGATCAAGGGAGAAGCAGAATTGGCTCTTGCAGACATCAGGAAAGAGAATCCACTCCTACGCGCTAGCTCCGTCCGGCTAGGATTCGGCAGCGAGGCAAAACATGATGCGATCAAGCCATATCTACCATCTAGGCCATACTATGAGAAGGTCTTGCGCGCTTCGGAACCGGCTATACGGGCTGTAATGCCCAGTATCTGGACCCCTACAGAGTATTTTGGAAGGTTTTTGACCGACCTAGCACTGGGCAGATATCAAGACCAATTAAGGGCTTCCAAAGGCATCCGGATGGTCGGCAATATGCCTATAATCGAGAATTCGGCATTCCGACGTTTAGTCGAAATAAAATGATGGCATGAAATATGGTAAAAGTGTCACTAGGCATTGATTACAATTGAAATGAATCTGCTATAAAGTCATTCGAGCGATAAATATATAGCGTTGGGCGTTGAATAGGGGTGGGCTGGCGTGGTTTCTTGTTTCTTTTGTCTCTTTCATTATTTAAACCGGAATTTTGGTAATAACCAGCAGATGAATAATTATCAATTCAATCTTCGGGCTCGTCGCTATTTTCTTATTCCTTAATCGTGTCCTACTTGTTAAATACCATGTAAAGACACAGGATTAAAAGATCATTGCATGCTTAAAAAATTACAAGAGCCTAGTGGGGGGCTTCAAGTATGTGTGTCGCAATGAGTGCCAGTGTTTCTACGAAGTGAATAGCCTATGTTCAGCTCAGATAAGTACAGGAAATATGTTTTAGATCTCGCCTCTGTTTCCTTCGACTGATATATATTTGCGAGTTACCAACCGGCTCAAATTTCATGGAGCCGTAACAACCTGACCCGTGGGGTAGAGGATGTTGTACACTGGTTTTGTTGTTAATATTGCCGGAACCCCTAGCTGATGAGGACAGGTGGCTTGATTTTGTGACGGCCAGTCAAGAGTGCATATTTCATCGTAACCGTAAGTGCAGGTCGGGTTAAGAATATTGTACAGCACGTAGTTCTGTGAAACCCAGCTGCTAGGTTGGTTCAAGCAACTCGAGAGGTAGTTCATACTATTGGCTGCACTAAGAGGGAGTTTTCCACCGGTGGTATAAATCAGGCCGGCGCAAGTAGCAGCAGGTTGATTGACATATGTCATGCTGAGAGATCCGCCAGCTGTAGGTTTTTCTGTCGCAGAGAACCCTGTATATAGATAATTCCAAGCATCGTAACTGATATCATGCGCACCACCTGACTGATCAATTCGGAGCAGGTTCACGGAGCGACCCGCATATGAGACAGTGACGCAGATGTTATTGCAATCAATAGCCTCTGGCCAATAGGCAACTCGATTGGTATTGATATAACAGCCCAGAACACCAACTGACGATGAGTACTGATCATGAGGTGTAACACCTACACTGGTAGCAGCAGCAGCGAAACCGCTGGCACCGAGCAAGGCTATAAGACTTTGAAAGCGCATTCTGAGCGAGGTATCGAGTTGTTGCGTAACTTTCCAATTTAGTGAATGCCAGAGACGTCTTATAACTTTCACGATACTTTATTATCATTTAATAGCCACCGGTTATAGCACAACGAGACAGGCGAGACCATTAGCGCTTTTATAGTTCACTCAAACATTTTTCCAAGGCATTTCAGGAAGGAGGCGGCCTCGCCGTCATATGTCTATGGCTTCATTCGAATTGACTTTCCAATTCAAGCCGAATCATTCCTGAGTATGGCATGGTCAAAAAACGAAACCTGGTAAGTGTTTCATTCGCGAGATAGATAGTAGACTCGAAAAGCGACCGAGAACACTCCGTGATGTATCACTGAAAGTTTCGGGTCGCTATACTAGTAGAGCAGCCCAGAAGAGACAAGTTTTGTTGTATGAATCAAGTTGCTGAGGTGACTTAAAAGGGCAAGGTGGGCTGTGTGTGAAGGATTCAGGGGTCGTGCAATTTTAGTTGCAGACTCCATACCCTGCAACGTTGCAGACGCTTGGCAATTAAGCTGACAGCCGCAGCTACCACTGTACGACCAATTTACCTGAGAAGCACGTGGTGTTATGGATTTGAATACGTTGCAGCAATAATTGAAAGTCATGACGGTTAGATAGGCTTACTCGTGGCCTGACGGGAGTAATAGACAACGTGATACCAATAACAACTTCGTGTGGGCAAACCGTCAATCTTACTAGAGTCTTCAAGCTGGAAAGAGACACTCGTCGCCTGCTTTCCTATCACTTCTTCTTCACGTTGGTATTGCGTATGGAGTGATTCTTGGAAGATATGGTTCATGAGTAGTATGAAGATTCAACCATCAATGAAGAGAATATTATATCAATCTAACGCTGCATCACGAAGGACGCAGCTAAGATCTTCAAGGTGTGGGCTATGACTGTCACGACTCGGACAGATAGTTAACGCGGCAATTACAACTGGAGATCAAGCGGAACTTTCTCTATCGGTTGTGATTGATGTCCCCAACACATAGGGAAGTCTCCGGCAGTTGCTTTGGCCATAGCGCTGCTTGCTAGTGCCACTGCTTGTGAACCTCGAGTTGTGACTTCCTCTTGGTATTGGTTCAAAAGACTTTCCATCTCGTGATGACTGGAAGTATTAATACGATGGAATAATTCGCCTAATCGGGTCGCATCTTTTATTGCTAAAATGCCGCCTTCCCCACGAAACGGGGTCATTGGATGAGCGGCATCACCAATTAAGAGTATTCGTCGAACTGATGGTAGAACGGGTAGTTCGGCTTCCCAAAAGGTCTAGTCCTCAACTTAGTGTGACAATTACTACTCCAAAGAGCACAATACCCACCACCATGCCCTTGATACCTTCTTCCCTAGAGACTTGGACAATCTCTCGAAACTCGGGTGCCAGTTCTTGAACTTTGTTGAGACAATAATCGTAAGTCTCCTTTTTCGTCGCAGTCTTCAGCCAATGCTTTGCATCAGCAACATTTTCGTCGGCAGCGAACAGCATCCAGTAGTACTCCGCAGCCTTTCTATCTGGAAGAACACGACTTAGACCAGTGAATAGTCGCCAACCGTTTGCAAAGGCAATGTAAGCACTATGCCCTAGGAGGAGTTGTCGATGCCATGCATCCCCCGAAAGAGTAGCATTGCCTAAAACGATGGCTTCAGGGACAATTCGCAGCACTTCCTCGTTTTTCTTTTGGAGAACATGCTCACGAACTACCTCCAGAGAAGACTTTGTCAATTGTTCGTGGACAAACATAGAAGATTCCAATATTGAAGCTCACATGGAAGTAACATACCAGTACTAAAAGTCCCGTCTGCACCAACTAGAACATCTCCAGTCGCAGAGGAGCCGTCTTCAAACCAAACTGTTACGGACTCATCATATTCCTCGATACGTTTGACGTACTTGCCCCATCTTATCTCAACGTTGGTAGACAATAGCTCACGAAGGCGCAGACGATTAGCCCGAATACATGGCGTTTGAGGTGAATCTTCTACCCCGACCCTCAACCCTTTGAAGTAGAAGAGCATTTGAGATGGTAGATCAAGAGGTAGGAGATGACACGAAAGTTCTATTGGCGGCACGTCCTCGGGCAGAAAAGGTTTGAGTTCTTCGAGCCTAGTCCGCATGAGTATCCATGCACTCACAAGAGACTGTTGCAGACGATCACATACCTGTACAAGCCGATAGCATAGCCCTGCCCACGCGCTGAGGCGCTATCGTCCCGTTCGAATATCTCAAAAGCAACGCCCTGTTTGCGAAGGCATTGTGCTAATACCAAGCCCCCGAGACCAGCACCAATAATAAGCACTTTCAGGGACATAATGAATCCAGTAATGCACTAAAGTGAGGACTGGGACACGTTCGAGTCTTTGCATTCGCGAAGAGAGCGTTTCAAGTATGTAAGCTTGAACTTGAAGGTCGGCCTGAACAATATGCCTGACGAGTTTACATTCGCTATTGTGAATATAATGAAGAAAACGTCTTAACAAAGTTGCGGGATATATCCCATCGCGGGGTGATAGTATCAATGCGAGCCTCGAGTTCTCATTCGTTGAATCGCTTACGCTTTGCATGAGCTTCTTGAGCTAAAGGTCGAACCTAAAATTGGAACAAACAGGCTTTGAGGCTCTATGAGCCTTTGATTATAAATGATGTGGTTCTTTCTCTTGGCTTTACGGCAACTTCAGCCGACATGGCATCAGGGGCTCGTAGCGGCGGACAGCGTCAACAAATTTTGAAGATCTGCCGTTTTCCTGTATACTGCTTGAAACTCACCAAAATGATAAGCCTGAAATGCGAAAATTCGTATTATATATTCAGTTGTTATGCATCATCCTTCGCATGATCCCCAGCCTGGTGCTCTACTGTTGCTTCCACTTTTTCAGTCATCAGCTCTTTCACGCCCCTAAGGAACGCCACTGCCACGATAGCTAACACAACAAAGGGCACAACACTTGCCCACGCTAGTCTATATGCTTTTGCATATTGCCACTGACTTTCACTGATCACTGCATCCCAAACGGTCGATGTCGCGCCAATAATACCTGCGCTATCTCCCACTTCTCCGCTCTCGAGAGCTGCTAGGAGAGCATCCACGCTGGATTCTGGGAGGCCCGCCCCGACGGCAGCGTCAGCTACACTAGAGGCATAATGACTACTAAGTCGGCCATTAATAATTGCATTTAGCACTGCTGAGCCAAATGCGCCACCGATAGCGCGCGCTGAGAAGGCTAGGCCTGTAGCAGTGGATAGGAAGGCATGCGGCGCCGTGAATTGAACACAAGCAACCAAGAGAGTCAAGGGACCAGACTGTCCAATTCCAGCCAGAACATTAAAGCCTATTTGTGCTGCGTTCCATCCAGGCCGAATTGTAGCATAGCATATGGACCTATCGAAAGTTAGACAAGGGGGAACACGGGAAGAAATGAAACTCAATACTCACACAACGAGAAAAATTGCAAATGTAACGAGCAGAGGCGATTTCAAGTCCTTGAACCGTGTTGCGTACCAAGTGATGGGAATGGACATCGTCAGGTTCAAGAGATTGAAACTTAGTTGACGAATAGAAATTCGCCAGGCATCCGTTTGAAACCCAAGATTCAGGACAATCTGGGGAACAATAGAGTTGACAGCACTGTAAAAGATCCAGCCTTCGACAGCGAATGCGAAGACTGACAAGGCAAAATTTGCGTTTCTGCGAAAGAAAACATGAGCCACCAGACCATCGGATCGCCCTTTCCATTCTGTTCGACATTAGAAACTCGAAGTCGGGGCAGTATAGGAAC